TGTGATACATATATGTAAGCTTGACACAATCCTATTATTATTAATTACTGCTACTATTAGCAGTAACATTTGATAGGCAACACCAGTTTCTTCAGATGGCTGTCTATTTATGATGATTGGATTGTTTATTTCTGAAAAGTCTAATTTCTATTGTAGATGAGGGAAATGTCAGACAGACACAGATGTCCATCCATGGGTAGGCACCTGGTAACATAAGATACCTTCCAACACTATGGGAGAGAAATTTTAATTAATGTATTTTTCAACAGAATATATTGATAGTAAGTTGTCATCTTTGAAGTCTTTGTGTTCTGGGAGTACATTATCAAATGAATGTTATTCATTTAGTAGTCCCTATAATTTTATAAATGGGCCATTGGTAATAATGTAAAATGTCTCCTTCTACTTTTCCTTCCCAAACAAACTTCTGGGGAATGAAAAACTATTTACATGCTGACTTCACTAAAAGGCAGCACTTTCACATGGGTCAGCTAACTCTGTAATATAATTGTATTCTTTAATATAACATTCGTGCTCTTGAGGGAGGTCCCTCAGCCTGCCACCACAGCTGTGCTCGCCAGCTGTGAGCCTGGCTTTTGGCTGAGCTGTGTTCCCCCTGTGGGAGCGCACTGACCACCACGGGGCAGCTCCTGCATTGTCTGCCCCCTGGTGGTCAGTGGATGGCTTAGCAACCAGTTCCTCCACCATTCGGTCTGTTTGCATATTAGCCTTTTATTATATAGGATTGCCTAGTTTTGTGTCCCTATGCCACTTTATTATTTTTTTTATAATTAAATCTTTATTGTTCAGATTATTACAGTTGTTCCTTTTCCTCCCCCATAACTCCCCTCCACCCAGTTCCCACCCCACCCTCCACCCTCACTCCCCACCATCCTCTTTCATAGGTGTGCGATTTTTGTCCAGTCTCTTCCCACATCCCCCACACCCCTTTCCCCCACAAGCTTTGGTGCTCACTGAGTCTGCCCCCTGAGTGTGTCCCTTATGGATCTGAGGAGTTGTAATATGGATGGTCCCGCTCTGACCACTGGGTACACTGGCTCTTGGATCTAAGGAGGTGCTAATTTAGCCTATGCCTGAGGCTACCCAGCAGGAGTTACAAAGTGATCTGCAGATTCCCCTTCCTTTTTGGGGGTTTGGAGGTGCTCAGATGAGGCCCAGCTGTGAAGCAATGCAAGCTGCTGTGGGGCCTTGGGCCTTCTCTTGGAAGTTCTGGGTCTGTCTGGCCCAGCTGCAATTTGTTAGGTAATTTTCAGATTGCAAAGGGCCCAGGGCATTCATATGCAAAAGCCTCTACTGCAGCCTGGGTGGGGCAGTGTCTCAGGGAATCAACAGGCGGAGTAAGCAGCTATGGCTGATCCTCAGCCCTGCCCTAAGGGGCCTCATCTCAGTGTCCCGGTAATTGCTGCAAGCACCTCTGAGGGAAAGCCACCCTCAAGTTCTGAGTTCTGCCTGCTGCCAGACAGTCCAGTTTCTCCCCGTATGATACCTGGGTCCCCAGAGACTTCCCGGAACTGGAGTTCAGAGCAGTCGGGAGCATGTGACTCCCTCCGCATTCAAAAAGACAGCATCATCCTAAGGTGCCAGCCCCTTTCCGCGCGTGCTTAAGCCTCCGTACCTCTGCACTTTACTTCCACAGCTCCTCTGAGTCACAGTGTGCTTTTCTCTTTCCTTTTAGTTGTAGAATTTCCACTAAGCCAGCCTTCCTGTAGTTCTGGATGATTTCTGTTTTGTCTTTTCGTTGTATTTTTGAAGTTGTGGGAGGCAACCATTTCTGGTGTTTACCTATGCTGCCATCTTGGTTTCTCTCCAGGTCAGCTAACTCTGAGCACGATTATCCTCAGTGTACTGTATGTACACTGTCCAAGATTAGAGCTCTCACCAGAGCAAAATTCTCTGCAGAGTAGTGTCTTTGGGGCCCAAAGGTAGAGATGAAATAACTTTTTTTCCAACCATTTACTTTCATCTGAAATAGGTCTCATTTAGACAGCATAAGTATGGGTATCGTTCTCATATCCATTCATCTACCCTGTGTTTTTTGGTTGAAGCAGTTAACTCATTTATATTGTAAGTGATTATTGATAGGTATGTAGTTATTGTCATTTTTTAATTAATTAACACAGTCCAAGCAGGGAACTTTAGCTTCCCATTGACATCAATGGACAGATGTGCCAGAAAAAAAGTCAATACGAAAAGTTGGTCTTAAATGGCTCATTAGACAAGATGGATTTGATGTTTATAGCAGAGATTATCAAGCAGAGTGTCACACTGGCAAACTGGTGTGCTGTGAGAATTTTTAGTAGAATAAACACCTGGCTATGTAGTCAATAGCACAGACTACATTACCCAGAGATTGTCAAATAAAATGTGACAAAGGCCAACACAGTAATAGCTGTGTGGTGGGCATGAGTCAAAGTCAGATGTTTTTTAGACAGGTTGGCAAAATACATATTTTGGTGGACCTCTGAATTTCAGTAATTACTCCATTTGTGCCATGAGATTAAAAAATGTTAAAATCACTGACTTATAGCTTTTCACCCCAAAGCAAATATGCATTCTGGACAAAATGAACAGAGAAGGCCCTCTTAACCAAGAAACAATGTCTGCTTCATCAATTTTCCTAATGACCATGTGAAAAACAAATCTTTTGTATCTTTTACCTCAATACACCCCCTCAATATTCCTCTTTACAGTACCAGAAAATGGAACTATTGTCTAGGTGACATCAAATTCCTATCAATGATCCAGATCCAATAGTTTGTCCCGAACAAAACCATAAAACCTGTGGTCCAGATAGAGACCCAGTCACAAAATATCAGGATATTTTTATACGTATGAATGCTCCATGGGAATGTTAGGAAGTAGAGTAGAAGAGTATCCAGTATCTCCTTTCTTTAATCATTGTGTGATCCTTTGGATTGGCCCATGCAAAGCATATGATATTACCAGCTTGTACAAATTTACAAGAAACTGGAGAAGGAATGAATGTGGCACTTTCATTTCAATCACTGCTATCCTGCCGTCCCTGGGACTTACAGTAACGGCTAGGAAAACACTGCGGGGACAACTAACACGCCTATGCACATAACTGTGGTCATGCTGTCAATATACAAAATAACTTCTGATGAAAAAGAAAATTTTCCAACCACACATCTGCCATGGTCTCTGGGATTCCTCTTGGAAGAATGACCAATAACAAGCAACATTTAAGTAATTGACAATAAAATCTGTTTAACAAGGGCTGAGTCCTTCCAAGAAAGAAGGTAATGAGGTAACACAGACATTCTTAATGAAAGTCAAGACAAGAAAAATCATTCTAGTGATAAAGCACACAGAAGCCAATTTATTATAATCCAAAAATTAACATTCATATTCAAAATCTAGAATCCAGCAGGGAAACATCAACGGTCACCTTCCTACTTCATGAATATAAAGCAAGATACTGCCAAATTCTGAAGTCAGTTATCGCATTAGTAAAATTCTAAATTGCAGAACAGAAGCTACACGGGCCAGAGGGCTCATGTGGGAGAAGAAGAGGTTTAGATGGCATTGTTAAAGCGCTGCAGAAAAGAGTATCAGCTGAGTAGAAAAATGAGAAGAAAAAAAAATAACACTGAGAATATGAAATAGGAAATGAAAGAAATAAACTTAATTTTCTGGGTTCAGCTAGGAGTGCAGCTTGGAAACAGATGTCCTCTCTTCAATGCAGAGTTCATGGCAATTCTGCATGCTGGGTATGAAACATCTCCTACGTTGTACTACAACATCAGTGATATAGGATTTGAGAGAGAAGGGAGAGGGAAAGAGATAGAAACAGCAATGATAACAGAGAATCATCTATCAGGTGCCTCTTGCATGAAAACTACTGGATATCCAGTCCACAAACAGGGCATGAAACTTAATCGGGAAATGAACGATGACTTCCTGGTTCATGGGTCCATGCTCAACAACGTAGCTTCATAATGCAGGCAACCCCACTGCTGATCAAAGTTGCACACAGTACATTTATAGGTGTTCCCTCCACTACGAGTTCTCTTGTGTTGAGTAAGACAACAAGGAAAATTAAAAGTTGTGCCTCCTTCTTCACATTTGTAAGGCTTTCCTTCACAATGAATTCTCTGATGTTAAATAATACTCCATTGACAAGAAAAGGATTAACCTCACTCATTACATTTGTAAGGTTTCTCTCCAGTATAAACTCTCTGATGTACAGGAAGGAATACACACTGACTAAATGTTTCCTCACAATTTTGTTTCCTCTTTCAAAATATATTTTTATTGATTTCAGAAAAGAAAGGAGAGTGCTTGAGAGAAATATGTATAAGAGGGAATTGTGGATCAGCTTCTTTCTACTGGCCCCACTCTGGAGATCGCTTCCGCAACCAGGGCCACTGCCCTGACCAGGAATTGCACCCTGACATTGTGGTGGGTGGTCGAAGGTAAGCCACCAAGCCATGCCAGCCAGTGCTTTCTCACATTTTCTACAGTGTAAGGTTTCCTCCAGTATGAAATCTCTGATGTTTAGTAAATTTTGAGCTGTGGGTAAAGGCTCCAGCCTATTCTTTTTTTTTTTTTTTTTTTTTCCAGCCTATTCTTTACATTTGTAAGGACTCTCTCTGTTAGGAAGTCTCTCAAGTACAGTAATACCTGAATGACTTTTCAAGGCTTTTTTCCATTTTTCACATTCATTAGGCTTCTGTCCAGAGTGAATTCTGTGATGTTCAGTAAGTTCTCACTGCTGGTCAAGGACTCACGAAACTCTGCACATCTCTAAGACTTCTCTCTACTATGAAATCTATGCTGTCTAGTATGGCAGAAACAGTAAATAAAATCTTTGTCGTACTTTCTATATTTAACAGGCTTCTCTCCAGTATGATCTCTCCGCTGTGCAGTAAAGTCTGAAGACCTACCAACAGATTTGCCACATACTCTACGTTTATAAGGCTTCTCTCCAGTGTAAACTCTCTGACGATAATTTACGTATGATGCTACAGTGAAGGTTTTCCACATTCTCTACATATATGGTATAAGACTTCTGAGGACCTTCTAAAGGCCTTGCCACATACTGTATATTTACAAGGTTTCTCTCCAGTATGACCTCTGTTATGTGTACTAAGTTCTGAAAAGCATCTATACTTTGCCATATTCTCCATATTTATAAAGCTTCTCTGCAGTATGAACTCTCTGATGCGAAGTGAGGTGTGAGGACCATCTATAGGCTTTGCCACATTCTCCACATTTATAAGGCTTCTCTCCAGTATGAACTCTCTGATGCTTAGTAAGTTCTGAGGATCTTCTAAAGGCTTTGCCACATATTCTACATTTATAAGGCTTCTCTCCAGTATGAACTCTCTTATGCAGAGTAAGTTCTGAGGACCATATAAAGGCTTTCCCACATTCTCTACATTTATTAGGCTTCTCTCCGGTATGAACTCTCTGATGGGTAGTAAGGTGTGAGTACCACCTATAGGCTTTACCACATTCTCCACATTTATAAGGCTTCTCTCCAGTATGAACTCTCTGATGCGTAGTAAGGTGTGAGGACCTTGTAAAGGCTTTGCCACATTCTCTACATTTATAAGGTTTCTCTCCAGTATGAACTCTCTTATGCGGAGTAAGTTCTGAGGACCATCTAAAGACTTTGCCACATACTCCACATTTATAAGGCTTCTCTCCAGTATGAACTCTCTGATGTCTAGTAAGGTGTGAGGACCATCTAAAGGCTTTGCCACATTCTCTACACTTAAAAGGCTTCTCTCCAGTATGAACTCTCTGATGTGTATTAAGATGTGAGGACCATCTAAAGGCTTTACCACATTCTCTACATTTATAAGGCTTCTCTCCAGTATGAACTCTCTGATGCTTAGTAAGGTCTGAGGAGCTGCCATAGGCTTTGCCACAATCTCTACAGTCATAAGGTTTTTCTCCAGTGTGAATTCTCAGATGAATGCTAAGGGTAGAGCACCGGTTAAAGTCTTTGTCACATTCTGAACATTTATAAGACTTTTCTCCAGTATAATTTCTATGATGTTGAATATGTCCTGAGGACTGACAGAAGCCTTGCCCATCTTCTCTGAGTTTGTAAAATTGTGCAATAGTATGAATTCTTCCCTCATGTACAATAAGAGATGAATGACATTTAAAGGTTTTGCCACATGCTTTACATTTGTAAGGCTTCTCTCCAGTATCAACTTTCTGATTTAGAGTACAACCTGAATGCCAAGTAGATATTTTACCAGAATCTTTACATTTATAAGATTTTTCTCCATTATGGAATTTTTTCATTTTATTTAGATTGAATATTTGACTGGAAAATCTACCACAAGGATTCCACTTGTCAGCCTCCTCCCCCAAATGAATATTCTCTTGTTTTGTGTAATTTGAAGAATAATGAAAAGACTGGACACATTTACCTTCTTTGCGTGTCTTCTCTACAATAAGAATAACCTGATGTACATTGTGATTGGACATTTGGTCAATGACTTTTCCACTTATATAACGGTCCTCTACAAGCTCCCTTCTCCATTGATGATTAAGATATGACTCTTGCTTAAAGTTTTTCCAATGTTCAATCCATTGATAACTGCTCTCTCCATTATAGGTACTCTGGTGATAATGGGAGATAGAAAGGCCGACAGTTATAACTTCATTAAATGTGTACAGTTGTTGCATAAGAACCAGTACGTGATACTCATTAAACAAAGAGGGTTGTATAGAAAAAGCTTTCCTAATTTATTAAAATTTTACACAAAAATAAATACAAAACATTGTCAGAGAAAGGAAAATGCATCCCTGTTTAAAAGATTGCCAAATTGCCCAGCAAGCATGGCTTATTCATTGAGCTTCAAGGTATGAGCAAGATGGTCATGGTTCCATTCCGGGTGAGGGCACAAGACCTGGGTTTAGAATCAGTCCCCAGTATGAGGAATGCAGGAGGCAGCCAAGAAATGATTATCTCTCATCATTGATGTTTGCCTTTCTCTCTTTTGCTATGTTCCTATCTAAAATCAATAAAAATATATATATATATTTTTTAATTAAATCTTAATTGTTCAGATTATTACATCTGTTCCTCTTTTCCCCCCCCCCATAACTCCCCTCCTCCCAGTTCCCGCCCCATCCTCCGCCCTCACTCCCCACCCACTGTCCTCATCCATAGGTGCACGATTTTTGTCCAGTCTCTTCCCGCATCTTCCACACCCCTTTCCCCCCCAAGAATAGTCAGTCCATGCCAGAACCGGTTTGGCTCAGTGGATAGAGCGTCGGCCTGCGGACTGAAGGGTCCCAGGTTCGATTCCGGTCAAGGGCATGTACCTGGGTTGCAGGCACATCCCCAGTAGGAGATGTGCAGGAGGCGGCTGATCGATGTTTCTCTCTCATCGATGTTTCTAACTCTCTATCTCTCTCCCTTCCTCTCTGTGAAAAATCAATAAAATATATTAAAAAAAAAAAAAGAATAGTCAGTCCATTCCCTTTCTATGTCCCTGATTCTATTATAATCACCAGTTCATTCTGTTCATCAGATTATTTATTCACTTGATTCTTAGATTCACTTGTTGATAGATGCATATTTGTTGTTCATAATTTGTATCTTTACAAAATATATTTTTTAATAAAAAAATAATAAAATACCTAGCCTAATTGGCTCAGTGGATAGAGCATTGCCCTGAGGACTGAAGGGACCCAGGTTCAATTTCACTCAAGGGCACATGCTCAGGTTTCGAGTTTAATCCTCATAGCGGGCATGCAGGAGGCAGCTGATCAATGATTCTTTCTTATCATTGATGTTTCTCTCACTCTTTCCCTCTCACTACTTCTCTGAATTTAATAAAAATATATTTAAAAGCAATAATAAGCCCTAGCTGGTTTGGTTCAGTGGATAGAGCATCAGCCTGCGGACTGGGGGATTCCCAGGTTCAAATTCCAGTCAAGGGCATGTACCTTGGTTGCAAGCATATTCCCAGTAGGGAGTGTGCAGGAGGCAGCTAATCAATGTTTCTCTCTCATCAATGTTTCTAACTCTCTAGCCCTCTCCCTTCCTCTCCGTAAAAAATCAATAGAATATATATATATATATATATATATATATATATATATATATATATATATAATTAACAAGATTTCCAAATTGAGTACATTTAAATTTTATAGGTATATCATAAATCTCTACATTTTAGAAATGATTGCATGAAAATATAATCCCACCCTACATTTTAAGCAATTCAAAGGATTATTTACACTACAGACTACAATTCCTAATTTTTCCAGATTTCCTTTCCAAGAATGCATAACAGTAAAAAGTTGTTTTCGACTTTCACCTTCAGAAACACATTGATCTGCCAATGGAACTGACTTTAATATGGGAGGTTTCCCAAAAGCATAATACTCTTGACCTGTATAGGTAACAACAATTTTATTATGATAACTATTCCAGATTAGTTCTGTTTATATTAATTCCCTCTCTTCTCATCACACTCTTCCTCAAATTCCAAGGCTTTTATTAAGTGTACATTATCAAAGTGACACCTTTTATATCTTACCAGTATTATTTCAGAGAACAAATCTTGTATTCCGGGCTTTGGAATAAAGGCTGGGTCATCTTCAGATGACATACCTGAAAGAAAACAAATTTTCAAGTTTGACAATCAGGTGGTGAGTGTTGAAGTTACCAGCAACTATAGGCCAATGACAGTTTTGAGTACTCCAAGACCCACTGAAGGATTCAACAAAGCTCAAGATAGGTACAATGAGGAAAACTCACATCAAAGAGGGACAAAGAGTTGCCTACATTTGCAAATGATACCTGCTTAAACCTCCTGGCATGCAATGGCAATATTATAAAAACACAGCAAAGCTATCATTCAGAATTGAAGGTCAGATAAAGAGCTTCACAGATAAGAAAAAGCTAAAGGAGTTCATCACCACCAAACCAGCATTATATGAAATGCTGAAAGGTATTCTTTAAGAAGAGGAAGAAGAAAAAGGAACTCTTACCATTTGCCACAGCATGGATGGAACTGGAGAGCATTATGCTAAGTGAAATAAGCCAGTGAGAGAAGGATAAATACCACATGATCTCACTCATTTGTGGAATATAATGAACAACATAAACTGATGAACAAGGACTGATCCAGAAACAGAGAGGCATTGATTGGACTGTTGGGCCTTGGGGGGAAGGTAGGGGAGGGTGGTGGTAAGGGGGAAAAATCAACCAAAGGACTTATATGCAAGCATATAGGCCTAACCAATGGACACGGACAACAGGGGGGTGAGGGCATTAGTGGGGGGGGGGCGGGGTAGGGGGTAACGTGGGGATAAGGACACATATGTAATATCTTAATCAATAAAAAATATTAAAAAAAAAGAAAAAAAAGAAAGAAAAGAAAATGGAGTGTGAATTTTGATAGAGGCTTTCCCATTTCCAATCCAGGTTGTACTCTGGCCAGAAGACATGTTAGAATATTACAATATTCTAGAAAATAATTTTCTAAAATATTTTCTTATAGAACCTCAATAATTGTAGGCAACATGTAATGTGTGAGTTCTTAATTCACATATATCACAAAGCCTTTCTTTTATACCCAAGGACACCCAATTTGTTCCTTTTTTAAAAAAAATGTATTTTTTTTATTGGTTTCAGAGGGAAAGGGAGAGGGAGAGAAAGAGAAAAATCAATGATGAGAATCACTGATAGGCTATCTCCTGCACGCCCCCACTGAGGAGAGAGCCAGCAACCCTGGCATTGGCCCTGACCAGAATCAAACCTAGAACCTTTCAGTCTACAGACCCGTGCTGTATCTACTGAGCCAAACTAGCTAGAGCTCAATTTGTTCCTTGAGAGCAAGAATCTAGCACCGAAAGCAGAAGCCCCTAGAGATGTTAAAATAATAAAGGAAAACCCTGCGGGTGGAGTAGGAACTCGGGAAGGAAGTCATCCTCACCCAGGGAGGCCAGGTTGCTGCAGTTTTCCACCATCACATCCAGGTACAATTTCCGCTGAGCTGGGTCCAGATATTCCCACTCCTCCTGAGAGAAATGTATGGCCACATCCCTGAAGGTCAAAGGTCCCTGAAAGAAAATAAATATTTACCAAGAGGTCACCAAAAGAGTTCAAGTTTCACAACATGAAAACAGTGTTAGAAGAGGTTGGGACCTATGGGAGTATACTGAATCACCTAATAAGATCACCTGGCCCCAGTAACTTTCCTTGATATGATTTCGAACACTGAGAAATGAGGATGACATATGTCCACAAATCCTAGATATAGATTTACCTTTACAGGAAAATAAACTTTACAATTAAGGCAAAGCCCTAGCTAGTTTGTCTCAGTGGACAGTGTCAGACTGTGCACTTAAGAGTCGTGGGATTAATTCTCATTGCAAGCTCAATCCCCAGTAGGGGATGTGCAGGAGGCAGCCGATCAATGATTTTCTCTCATCATTGATATGTCTCTCTCTACCTCTACCTTCATCTCTGAAATAGATAAAAATGTACTTGAGAAAATAAGAAAAAAGAAAAAATAGCTGAAATAATGTAAAGAGTTTAAGCACAGAGACACACATTTTACAACTATGAAATCAAGGTGGTTTAGTGATCCTGTAAATCTTATGAATCTATTTGTGTGTGATCCCCATTGTGTTTTATAAACAAACTAGTGCCCCGGTGCATGAAATTCATGCACATTAAAAGGGAATTAATCAGAGGAAATATTTTAATATTGCTATTTGCCCTTTCTCTATAATAGAAATTTCTTGCTGGCCCCAACCCCATTGGGCAACCTGCCTGGTGGGACACCCAGCCTCCCATCCCGGTGCTGGGGAGGGGTCTGCGGCCTCAGGGGGATCCCCCAACCTCGCCATGCAGAGCTGGAGACATCGGGACCGGCCTCCACAGCTCCACACTCACAATGTGATGGATTGTGACAGCACGAGGGCATCACAGCGTGATGGCATGAGGGTGTAAAGACCATTTGCATATTAGCTCTTTATTATATAGGATAAGGAGAGAAACATAAGGATACAAAACAAGTTAAACCAGGGGTGGGCAAACTTTTTGACTCGAGGGCCACAATGGGTTCTTAAACTGGACCGGAGGGCCGGAACAAAAGCATGGATGGAGTGTTTGTGTGAACTAATATAAATTCAAAGTAAACATCATTACATAAAAGGGTATGGTCTTTTTTTTTTTTTTTTTTTTAGTTTTATTCATTTCAAACAGGCCAGATCCGGCCCACAGGCCGTAGTTTGCCCACGGCTGAGTTAAACCTACTTTCCTTTTTGTGGTTGTAAATCCTCACGTGGGGAGATTTTTTCCATTGAGTTTTAGAGAGCGGACAGCAGAGAGGTAGAGGGATGAGAAGGAGAGAGAGAGAGAGAGAGAGAGAGAGAGACATCAATGTGAAAGAGACACAAAGATACATGGATTGGCTGCCTACCGCAGATTCCCAGGAACTACTTGCCCTGGACCAAGAATCGAAACCTCCACCACTAATCCACAGGAGCCTGGGGGAACTAATATTTATTATCAGTACAATTCTTTCAAAATTTTTATGTATCATTAGTGGAGAGCTATTTCGTAGAGATTTAATGAAATTGAACATACATTCATAATATCATTCTTGGAAACTTTCTAGAAAATACAAAAAATGACCATGTAGGATATGTCTGTGATGGGAGTATAGAATATAACAAAAATTTGAAGAATCAAGGCCTGATTAGTTCAAGCTCCCATGAAAAAGCCAATGATCTGTAGGAAAGAAAAGTAAATCCTTCATTTTCCAAAGGAAATGCAAACTAAGAAGTGGGACATTTCCAGATGTGAAGTGATGGTCTCTGCACAAATGTCATTAAATCGCTACTACAGCCTTGTTCCTGAGAAAGGGAGACTATTAACTCTGCAGTTAGGGAAGCACCTCTGCCATGTGAACATCAGGTGGACTGAGACAATGGGCATCAAGTGACTGAGGCACACAGAAAGTCAGGTCACCACTGCTGTGACATTACTGCCAAAAATACCTCAATAAAGAAGGAATTTTGATGTAGTCCCATTTGTTTATTTTCTCTTTAGTTTCCATTGCCCTAGGAGCATTATCAGAGAAGAAATTTCTTCGGCATATGTTTGCGATTTCGCTGCCTGTGGATTCCTCTAGTATTTTTATGGTTTCCCGTCTTACGTTTAAGTCTTTTATCCATTTTGAGTTTATTTTTGTGTATGGTGTGAGTTGGTGATCTAGTTTCATCCTTTTGCATGTATCTGTCCAATTTTCCCAACACCATTTATTGAAAAGACTGTCTTGACTCCATTGTATGCTCTTGCCTCCTTTGTCGAATATTAATTGGGCATAGTAGGTGCCCATCAGCAGATGAGTGGATTAGAAAACTGTGGTACATATACACAATGGAATACTATGCTGCGGTAAAAAAAAGGGAACTCTTGCCTTTTGCAACAGCATGGATGGAACTGGAGAGCATTATGCTAAGTGAAATAAGCCAGTCAGAGAAAGATAAATACCACATGATCTCACTCATTTGTGGATTATAGAGAACAACATAGACTGATGAAAAGGGATAGACCCAAAGACTGAGAAACAGCGATCAGGCTATCAATCCCCAGAAGGAAAGTAGGGGAGGGCGGGGGTAAGGGGAAGAGATCAACCGAAGGACTTGTATACATGTATATAAGCCAAACCAATGGACATGGACAACAGGGGGATGGGAGCATGAGTTTGTGTGTGTGGGGGAGGTTGGGGGTTAATGGGGGGGGATGAAGACACATTTGTAATACCTTAACTAATAATAAAAAAAAATAAATAAATAAAATAAAAAAGAAGGAATTATATGGAAATGATCACAAATAAACATTAATTTTTCCAAGTGTCAATCCACGGGTATCTCTCATGTTCTGTAAGCTAATAGAATATTTACCTACCAAGTCTTTCGTACTAATCTAGTGAGCAAGTCTCTTCTATTTACTATTTACTCTTCTTTCAGAACTTTCTGAGCTATTCTGAGCAGTAAAATGTACATTTTCTTACCCCTGACCAAGAATTGATGCTGTAGCCACTTGAACCTAAAACCTGCTTTCCCTTCTTCAAGACACAAGAGCCTCTGACCCCATCCCAACAGGATGTTATATATGGCTGCCTTCCCAGGTGGATCTATCACTAAAGGGATGTTCTGAGTAGTTGAAAGTCATTAATTAAAGGAGGGAATGCTTCTGGACCTTGGGGAGGCTGCATAAAATGAAGGCAGAGAAGCCTCTGGGAAAATGGAGAGAAGTATAGCCGGGCCAGTGTGGTTCACGGGTAGAGTGTTAACCTATGAACCAGGAGGGCAGGTTTCCATTCCTGGTCAGGGCACACGCAAGTTTCGGACTCCATCCCCAGTGGGGGGTGTGCAGGAGGCAGCTGATCAATGATTCTCTCTTCTCATTGATGTTTTTATCTCTCTCCCTCTCCTTCTCATTCTGAAATAAATAAAAACATACATTAAAAAAGAGAGAGGGAAATATAGAAACTGCTGACACTGACTATCATCAGAAAAAAGGAAAGAAATAAGGAAAGGAAAACAACTTGGAACAGAAAGAACATCAGAAGTAGAGAAATATGGAGAGGAAGGCGCCCCAGAGAGACCAAGGGGAGCTGCGAGGGAGAGGGGTTCTGGTGAACAGAAGTGGGGGCAAGAAAGGGAGAGGCACTTCAGACAAAGAGACTGGTTCAGGAAGAATTGGGGGAGCAGGTGCAGGAAAAGAAAGGGGGGTTTAGGAATGATGGAGCAGAGGGAGAAGCAGCACTGAGTCATCCAACTGTGGGGAAACGGACAGAGTGTAAAAGGGGCAGCAGAGTAGACACAGGGGTGGGAAGGGAAAGAGAAATGTATCAACAGATGTTCAAGGAAAAGCAAACATAGCCACTGACACAGGACACATCTTTTACCTGAGAAGCAGCCATTTGGTCCGGATCTGGGATGTTTTCTCAGGTGACAATATGTTGAGGAGTCACAGAATGTGCCTTCAAAAGCACCCCTACAGCCTGTTAATCAGCTCATCTCACACTCACAGTCAGAAGGACCTGGAAATGAGGAAAAGGCCACCCCTCCTGTCCTGTGTCACAGGATAGAGTCAGGAGAAATGAGCTCCTACATGGAGACCACACTGGGAGGTGCTTTTTTCTGTCTTCATGTGTCAAACACTTCCACAAACTCCTACAGAAATGAGAACATGTGCTGCTCCGCTAAATCCCCAAACCCAGGAGAGCACCTGTTACCTCCCTTGAAAAAGCCTGCCCTCAGACCCATGACATGGCATCTTTTACCAGTTCCCTTCTGGGATCTGCGAGGCTCCCTCAGAGCAGTTTTCCGTAGCCCTGGGTAGCAGACATCACACCCAGCACCCCTGAGACCTCTGGGTAGTGGGAGGGGTTGAAGCAGGAACTGGTACACGTGCAGGTTTCCCAGGCAGATTTCCTTCCTCCTTTCCCAGGGAATTACAGAGAATAGATCTTCATGCTAAAGCCTTTGGGAAAAGTTAGCTATTGAAATATGCTCATCAAATGACTTCACCATGAATAGAGGAGGGTCTATGTGGGAACCAATTTCTAGTTCAATCCAGTCCATCCTTTAATATTTTTAGAGAATGGACAAGAAGGACTTAGGGGAACGTCTCCTTTATGGTTCATGGACACTAAATCAACAAATCACACATAAAGGGAAGGAAAGAGGAGCTGAACATTAGACTAACTCAAAAAACTAGCTTCTGACTGTTGATATCATTGACATCTTTACCAAGCGCACGCTGAGATCGCCTCATATTATTAAGTGCCAATAGATGTCTCGAGGTGTGATAAACAGTAGAAAGGATGCAGGGCTCAGAATCTGAACTACACGTAATGCATTTAAAACCAAAACAATTATGTTGTTTCTTTTAATGTAATGATTTCTAGGTTTAAAGTTTTGAAAAGGGAGAGACTGCCTTATATTAACAATGATAAGAAGTGCTTGTGAGATGTAACCAATGCTGATTTCAGAACTAAATGACTATTTACATGAATTGAATATCAGAGATAGAAAATTCAAATCCCTGGGAAAGAAAAAAAGATCCAGTGCTTCTAATATTCCTTCATAAAACATCAGACTCAGTCATCTCTTATCCCAGGTCACCTCCTTTTTGCATTCCCAGGAAATAACAAGGGGCCCATCAGGAACATACCCATCAGGAACGTCTTTCCCTCTGTGTGATTAAGGTTGCAAAGGGTAGCAAATAATTACAAAATATTCATAAGCTTTATAAATTGGAGATCTGTAATACTTATTCAAATCTGTTTAAACAATTCACTTGTTAAATTAAACATATAAGCCACAAGCCGATATATCACAACTTAACCTTCCACATCCCATCAGCTCACCTCTGACCCAGATCAGGGTTCCCCTCCTTGCCACTACTATGTATTTCTGTCTATGGATCTGTTTTTGTTCCCTGTTCCTTTTCTCTCCAATGTTGTCTTTTCCTATGTTTTTTGTTTTTGTTTTAATATATATTTTATTGATTTCAGAGAGGAAGGGTGAGGGAGAGATAGAAACATTAATGATGAGAGAGACTCCTTGATTGCTTGCCTCCTGCAAGCCCCCCAGGGGGGGACTAAGCCAAAAAACCAGACCAGGAATCAAACTGTCACCTCCTGGTTCATAGGGCCACCTTCCGCCACTGAACCACGCTGACTGAACTTTTCCTATGTTCTGTCTCCCCACCCCCTGCTCTTTTCCCCCTTTTCTCTATCTCTGTCCCTACTCCTGCACCATGGAACTCCTGAAACCTATTTCACCTTCAGTTGTTCTTTCTCCCTGGTCTTTCTGATTGCTCCCATCTACATACACACCTGGGTCTTTCTCTTCCCACTTTTGTGTCCCCTCTGCTGCCGGTTACAGTCTGTCCTGTTCCCCACACTTGGCTGACTCAGTGCTGCTTCTCCCTCTCCTTTGTCATCCCTACAATTTAAAAAAATAAAGAAACTTCATGAGTATTCACAGCAGTTTTGGTAACTGAGAAGAGTAATAAAGACAGGTTAAGCAAGTAAGAAAAAATACCTCAAATAATGTTAACATTGTATGTAGAGTCAGACACATCTATGAGAACTATCTACAATAATAAAAGTGTAATATTCAAATCGACTGAATGACAGAACAGCAGGACTCTAGACGACCACAGTATGATACACACTGGTGCCAGGTGAGCCAATGCAAGTGCGATGTGATTGGTCATAGGCCTGGCTATCACCCCATTAATCGCCCTACAGTAGGAGGCCCAGCCCACTGGCCAGTAGGGCAAACGATCAGCTGGGTGGGCTCTATGTTTGCCCGAAAGAGGAAGACCCAGGCCACTGCTGGCCGTGACAGATGGGCAGGGTCTACCTCTTTGGGGTGATTGATCCTGGGGCACCCAGACTGTGAGAGACTGCAGGCCTGGCTGAGAAACAACCCCTTCCACCCCCCGCTCCCGCCCAGGTGTAAGAATTTTGTCCATTGGGCCTCTAGTGCACAATATAAAAGAGATAGAAAACAGAACTGTCATGTCAATGAACTCAAGATTATTTTGTGATTCCATAAATTTCATAAATCTATTTGTGAATGATACCCTTTGAGTATTATAAACAAAATATGGTGAAGAATTCACATAATGATAGAAAACAAATTAGACCTATTATTTCTTAGGCACTCATTTATGGGAAAACTAGTGGCCTGGTGCACAAAACTGTGAACAGGGTGGGGGGTAGGGGTGTCCCTGAGTCCAGCCTGCACCCTCTCCAATCTGGGACCCCTCAGGGGATGTCCAACTGCTGGTTTAGGCCCAATTCCCTCTCACAATCCAAGATTGCTGGCTCCTGACCACTCACCGGCCTGCCTGCCTAATCACTACTACACACTCTACCTGCTGGCCCTGCTCAACCCCAAATGCCCCCCGCCCCCGCTGGCCTGATCACTCCCAACTACCCTCCCTTCCTGGCCTGATCGCCCTTAATCGCCTCTGCCTCAGCTCTGCCACCATGGCTTTGTCTGGAAGGACGTCCGGAAGGTCTCCCGGTCTAATTAGAATATTACCCTTTTATTAGTATAGATTTCAGTATATCATTAGTGGAGAGCTACAATCATAGAAATTTTTTTTTTTTTTTATTTTATTGAATTTTTACAGAAAGGAAGGGAGAGGGATAGAGATTTAGAAACATCGATGAGAGAGAAACATCAATCAGCTGCCTCCTGAACACTCCCTCCTGGGTATGTGCCCACAACCAAGGTACATGCCCTTGACTGTGGGAGTGTCCCTGTAGATGCCGCAGCAAACTGCTGGTTCTGGGTGCGTGGCCACTGTGACCTCTGAATGTCCCTCTCAGGTATGTTGGCAGTTGCTGGGGAAATGGAACCAAGTATGGTCGAGGGTAGTCTGGGAAACGGGGCAAGTTTATAATAGTCTAGGAAATGGGGCAAGTTAATATTAGTAGTTGGGGCAACGGGGCAAATTGATTAATAATACCTTGGTAACGGGACAAAAATTGACTAATGATGTTTTATGTAATTCACTTGTTTTAGTAACCGCACTTAGCAACAATGATTGATTGTATAACTTTGAAGGAAATAAATAGGTTAGAACGGCGACCAAAAGGTGCCGTTGGCCATTCACCTGCATGTTGTGTAGGTGTCCTATTTTCCTTTCCACAGCTGGTGCCCCGTGTGAGGAATCCAGTGCCGCTTGCCAAGGGGAGCAGCGTAGGTCCGTGGAAAGACAGGGGAGTTCGATCGGAGGGATTTCGGCGGAATCCGAAAGAGCTTGGGTGAGTAGCCTTCAGGATAAAAGCATGGGGAATTCCATGATTAAGGATAAACAGCTTTTTTTAAAGCTTATCCAGCAGTTGCTTCGGGCGACTGGCTGTGTGTGATTTATTGACTCTATTCATAGAGCAAATTCATTATCACTGTCTGTGGTTCCAGGATAAAGGCACGCTGGACGTGGAGGTGTGGAACCGTGTGGGCAGTACATTAAGGAGAGAGGCAGTGCGATGGGAGGTTCTGTTTTAGGAACCTGGGCTTATATTACCACTGCTTTGCAGCCCTTGCAGCCAACTCAGGCGCCTATTACAGCAGCCTTGGTGTCAGAAGAACTGGAAAAAGCAGATGAGGAAGGGGCGGATAAGGAAGGGCGTCAGATAATGATGGACCCTCTGGCTCCGCCGGATTCTAAAAATCTTTCCCCTGGAGATGAGATTATTCCCCCTTGCCAGGAGGCTAGGCAGTTGGTGAGCTCCTCCAGGCGGAACTGCGAGATGACAGTGCCCTCTGGCTTCCCCTTGTATCACTCTCACTGGCGCTGTCCACCATAGCCGCAATGGCTTAGGGAAGGAGGAGGAGCGGGAGGCTGCAAAGAAAGCTGGGCTGCGAAGGAGTGGGCCAAGGGCGAGCGCGGGAAAGCGCCAAGCTGAGTGCCTAACACCAGGGCGCAGACGCAGAGTGGCGAGAAGACAATGTTAACCTTTTAGAGTTATTTCTTTCACTCCTTTAGAGAATGCAATGACTGTTTTTACTAATAGATCAGGAAATACTGGTGTAGCTGGGATTTGCTGGAGTAAGCATAGAAGCTAGAAGCAATTTACTGCTAAGAAATATTCCAACACCCAGCGAGCTGAGATAAAAGCTTTAATTTTAGCATTACAACATTTCCCCAATTCTTCACTCATATTACTAGCATCCCTTATAATCCCACTAGTCAGGGTATTATAAAACGTGCCCATTCTACCTTGAAGGTTATATTGTTAAAACAAAAAAGGGGGAGTAGAGGGATGACGCCTAGAGATAGGCTAAATAGGGCACTGTATTTTTTAAATTTTTTATATCAGCAGCATGGGGAAATGGCTACTAAACAACACTTAGTTCCTCAAGAACATAAGCCTAATCCTAAAGTAATGTACCGGGATCAGGAATCCTCCTTTTGGAAAGGCCCGGTGGAGTTGCTAACTTGGGGAAGAGGGTATGCTTGTGTTTAAGTTCCAGATGCAGACCCCAACAACCGAGTTTGCGATGGATCTCTGAGGAAGAGGATAGAAGCCATAAACCTTCAGGATGCGCTCCAGCGGAGGGGTGGTCGGCAGATGGAGATAGCTCCTCCTATTACCTGGCGCTCTTTGAAGAGGCTGGATGCGGAAGCTCAAAGCATTCACTCAGAACTCTTCCTGGGGGTTGATTTTGGCTTTGATCACCTTGACTGGACTTTTTCCAGTGACTTCGGCTGTGGTTCACTGGACTCATATGATTAATCCACCAACCTTCACTCTGCAGACTTGGAATGATCCTGATCCGCCTTAGACTACTAATGACTCGGACTATATTCAAGGGACTTGGGTGAGGCCTAATGGACATTTGGGGGACTCTCGTTTTCAAGCATTGTTTAACCAGACCCTCACCTGGAATGTACCCACTGTTCCTCTGTATATTCAATAGCTTTTATTATGTCTACTATGGTAATTATCTCTTCTGCTGTAGCATCAGGATTTGCCTTGGAGACCTCTATCCTTACAGCCCAACAAGTGGATAGTAGGTTCACAACCTGACCTCTAACTTGGAAACACAGGTAGCCATTTATCAGCAGATTATGGCTAGGCTAGAAGCTCTGGAGGCTACCGTTTTGTGGATTGGTCAGCGTCAGCAGGCCACAGTCAGACAGCAGCAATTAACCTGTGATGCACAGTTTACCCGAATTTGTGTTACTAACTTCATTTATGCCAATGAATCTTGGAGTGATGAGCAACAAGCTCTCCTAGAAGTTTTTAATAGTAATCTTTCTCAGGATATTGGATCCTTAGAGAAGCAAGTGCACACTGAATTGGCAGGATTAATAACCGTTTCCCGAGAACAAGTGTGGGCAGACCTGTGGGGTCGCCTGCAATGGCACCCAAAGACCTGGTTCTCTTCCATTATTCCCAGTTCCTGGATCCCTGCAATACTAGTGGCTATCTTAGTACTGTTTTTAATCTTTTTTAAGAGAGGTTGACTAAAAAGGGGGGATATGTGGGAGCGTACCTGTAGATGCCGCAGCAAACTGCTGGTTCCGGGTGCGTGGCCACTGTGACCTCTGAATGTCCCTCTCAGGTATGTTGGCAGTTGCTGGGGAAATGGAACCAACTATGGTCGAGGGTAGTCTGGGAAACGGGGCAAGTTTGTAATAGTCTAGGAAACGGGGCAAGTTAATATTAGTAGTCGGGGCAATGGGGCAAGTTGATACTAATAGCTAGGGCAACAGGGCAAGTTGATTAATAATATCTTGGTAACGGGGCAAAAATTGACTAATGATGTTTTATGTAATTCACTTGATTTAGTAACCGCACTTAGCAACAATGATTGATTGTATAACTTTGAAGGAAATAAATAGGTTAGAACGGCGACCAAAAGGTGCCGTTGGCCATTCACCTGCATGTTGTGTTGGAGTCTTATTTTCCTTTCCACACTTGACTGGAATCGAACCTGGGACCCTGGAATCCGCAGGCTGACACTCTGTCCACTGAGCCAAACTGGTTAGGGCTACAATCATAGAAATTTAGCTGAATTGAAGATAAATTAATATGATTCTTGTAAACATTCCAGAATATTAAAAAAGTGATCATGGACAGTATGTCCGTGACATGAATATAGAATATAATGAATATTTACAGGAACACGGCCTGACTGGTTAAAGCTCCTATGTCAAAAATCAAATATCTGTAGGAAAGAAAAGTAGGGCGTCTATTATTCAAAGCAAATAGAAACTAAGAAGTGGGGCCTTTCTAGATACCACGTAATGGACTTTGAACGTCTCTCAACAAATCCCTACTAAACCCTTCCTACTGAGAAAGGGAGACTACCAACTCTGCAGTGAGGGGAGCGCCTCTGCCACGTGAACCTCACATGAACTGAAACAATGGGCATCAGGTGACAGAGGCACAGCATAGGACAGCTCACCACTACTGACAATACTGGCAAAAATACATCAATAAAAATCAATAAAAAAATAATTGCGTGAAAATGATCACAAATAAACATTAATTTTTGCAAGTGTTAATCCACACGTACCTCTCATGTTCTATAGGCTACTGGTACATTTCTTTTTCTTTTTTTTAATATATTTTATTGATTTTTTACAGAGAGGAAGGGAGAGAGATAGAGAGTTAGAAACATCGATGAGAGAGAAACATCGATCAGCTGCCTCCTGCACATCTCCTACTGGGGATGTGCCCGCAACCCAGGTACATGCCCTTGACCGGAATCGAACCTGGGACCTTTCAGTCCGCAGGCCGACGCTCTACCCACTGAGCCAAACCGGTTTCGGCAACTGGTACATTTCAATACCAAGTTTTCTGTACTAACCTAGTGAGCACGTCTCTTCTATTTACCCTGCTTTTCAGAACTTTCTGAGCTATTCTGAGCACTAAGATGTGCATCATCTTTTGTTTTTAATATATTTTTTTATCGGTTTCAAAGAGGAAAGGAGAAGGAGAGATAGAAACATAAATGATTGAGAGGATCATTGATTGGCTGCTTCCTGCATGCCCCCTATTGGGGAGCGAGCCTGCAATCCGATCATGTGCCCTTGACCACAATCAAACCAGGGACCTTCGAGTCTGCAGTCCAACGCTCTATCCATTGAGCCAAAACAGCTAGGGCATATGTGCATCTTCTTCCCCTGATCTAGAGCTGATGCTGCAGCCACTTGAACCTAACACCTACACTTGCCTTCTTCACTGATCCCAGTAGGGATGTTAGACATGACTGCCCTGCAAGTTTGATCTCTCACACAAAAAGATGTTTTGAGTACTTGAAAGTCACTAATTAAAGACAGGAATGCTTCCTGACCTGGGGAGTCTGCATGAAATGAAGGAGAGCATTACAGCCCGGCCAGTGCGGCTGAGAGGTAGAGGGCTGACCTATGGACCAGGAGGGCAGGGTTGGATTCCTGGTCAAAACACATTGCAGGATTCACACTAGACCCCTAGTGTGGGGTGTGCAGGAGGCAGCTGATTAATGATTCTTTCTCCTGATTGATGTTTCTCTGTCTCCCTCTCCTTTCCATTGTGAAATCAATAAAAATGTTTTTTTTAAAAAGAGGGAGAAAAAAATTATGAAAAACAAGGGACAGAGAAATAAAGAAAATGTTAAAATTGACTATGATGAAAAAGGTAATGAAATAAGAAAACAACCTGCAAAGACAAGACCATCAGAAGTAGAGGAATAAATCAAAAGATATTCAAGGAAAAGCAAACACAGCCTCTGTCCCAGGACACATATTTTACCTGAAAAGTAGCCATTTGTCCTGGTCCCGATCAGGGCCTCGGATGTTTTCTCAGGAGACAATACGTTGAGGAGCCACAGAATGTGCCTTCAAAGAAGCCAGCACAGCCTGTTAATCAGCTCCCCTCACACTCACAGTCAGAAGGACCTGGAAATGAGGAAAAGGCCACCCCTCCTTGGTCACAGGACAGAGTGAGGAACAATGAGCTCCTACATGGAGACCACACTGTGAGTTTGTGTGTGTGTCTTCATGTGTCTCTCCTCCCAAAGACATCCGCAAACTCCTACAGAAATGAGAATGTCAGCTACTGTCCTGACCCCCCAAACCAAACAGAGCATCACCTTACCTCCCCTGAACAAAGCCTACTCCCCACTCTCACAAAGGCATCCTGCAACCCTCCTGCTAATCCCCATCCTCACCTTCCATCACCTGGAGGCCCTCAGAAACCAATGATGCCCCACCCAGAGCAGCTGTCCAACTCCATGGGGGAAAGCCCACCTGAGGGCATTTCTAAAAGCTCCTCAGGGGATCTGGGAAAACCCAGAGAATTTATCTCAGGATGCTTTTATTTATTTATTTATTTATTTATTTATTTATTTTTTTAAATATATTTTATTGATTTTTTACAGAGAGGAAGGGAGAGAGATAGAGATTTAGAAACATCGATGAGAGAGAAACATCGATCAGCTGCCTCCTGCAAATCTCCCACTGGGGATATGCCCACAACCCAGGTACATGCCCTTGACCGGAATCGAACCTGGGACCTTTCAGTCCACAGGCCGACGCTCCATCCACTGAGCCAAACCGGTTTCGGCTCAGGATGCTTTTAAATAATAAATTAGGTGTCAGACATAGAAAAAGTAAATCCATGGAAGCAGCACACACAGAAAGAGAGAGACACAAAACACCACAGCAACAAAGTTAAGGCTTCTAATATTCTGTGAAAAGGCATCAAGTGTTGATAAACCCAGGTCATCTCCTCGTTGCCATCCGAGGAACGACACATGAGCAACAGACAAAAGTCTCTCCCCTCTGAGTGAATAAGAGTTGCAAGTGGAAGCAAATTATTATAACAGTAGAGGCCTGGTGCATGAAATTTGTGCGGGGTGAGGGGTGGGGGTCCCCTAAGCCTGACCTGTACCTTCTCCAATCCGGGCCTAAATGGGCAGTCAGACATTCCTCTCATAATATGGGATCTCTGGCTCCTAAGAGCTCACTTGCCTGCCTGCCCTAACCACTGTGCCTACCTTCCTGATTCCACCAACTGCCCTCCCCTGCCAGCCTAGTTGCCCCTAATTTCCCTCACCTGCTTGCCTGTTCTCCCTAACTGCCCTCCTTTGCAGGCCTGGTCGCCCCCAACTGCCCTCCTCTGCCGGCCTGGTTGCCCCTAATTTCCCTCACATGCTGACCTGTTCCCCATAACTGCCCTCCCCAGCTGGCCTGGTCACCCCTAACTGCCCTCCATGGCCCTCCTGATCATCTAAATGTCCTCACCTATCAGCCTCGTTGCTCCTAACTGCCATTCACTGCCACACTGGTCATCCTACCTGCCCTCCCCTGCCGGCCTGGTCGCCCCCAACTGCCCTCCCCTGCCGGCCTGGCCGCACTCAACTGTGCTCCCCTGCTGGCCTGATCCCCTAACTGCCCTCCCCTGCTGGCCTGATCCCCATAAATACCATCCCCTGCTGGCCTGATCCTCACAATTGCCCTCCCCAGCCGGCCTCGTTGTCCCTAACTGTCATCCCCTGCCGAGCTGGTCACCCCTAACTGTCTTCCCCTGCTGGCCTGGTCACCCCTAACTGCCCTCTCCTGATGGCCTCGTCGCCCCTAACAGCCTCTGCCAAGGCCCCCGCCATCGTGGCTTTGTCCAGAAGAATGTCAGGATGGCTGTCTGGAAGATGTCCAGTCTAAATAGCATATTACCCTGTTATTAGTACAGGTAAACCGGCACTCGGACATCCCACTCATAATCCGGGACCTCTGGCTCCTAACTCCTCACCTGCCTGCCTGCCTGATCCCCCTAGCTGCCCTCGCCTGCTAGTCTGATCACCCTAACTGCCCTCCTTTGCCTGCCTGATCCCCCCAACTACCCTCCCCTGATGGCCTGGTCACCCCTAAACGCCTCTGCCTCCGCCACAATAGCTTTGTCGGGAAGGACATGCGAATGGTTGTCCAGAAGATGTCCAATGTAATTACCATATTATTCTTTTATTACAATAGATAAACTGGCAGTCGGACATCCATCTCGCAATCCCGGACCTCTGGCTCCTAACCATTCATCTGCCTGCCCTAACCACTCTGCCTATCGCCTGATCCCCCTAACTGCCCTCCCCGCTACCCTGATCCCCTTAAATGCCCTCCCCTGCCAGACTGGTCACCCTTAACGGCCCTCCCTACTGGACTGTATTCCCCTAAACCACCCATGCCTCGGCCCCCACCACTGTGGCTTGGTCCAGAAGGATGTCCAAATGGTTGTCTGGAAGATGTCTGCTCTAATCAGCATATTACCCTTTTATTAGTATACATAAATCGGCAGTCGGACATCCTCTCACAATCCAAGACCTCTGGCTCCTAACCACTCACAAGCCTGCCTGCCCTAACCACTCTACCTGCCTGCCTGATCCCTGTAACTGCCCTCCCCTGCCGGACTGATCCCCCTAACTGCTCTCCCCGGCTGGCCTGGTCCCCGTAAATGACCTCGCTGCTGGCCTGATCTGCCTAAATTCCCACCTCTGCCGGCCTGATCCCTATAAAATGCCCTCTCCTACCAGCCTGGTCACCCCTAACTGCCCTCCCCTGCCGGCTTGGTTGCCCCTAACTGCCCTCCCCTGCCAGCCTGGTTGCCCCTAACTCCCCTCTACTGCCGGCCTCATCGTCCTAAATTCCCTCCCCTGCTGGCTTGATCCACCTAAATGCCCACCCCTGCCAGCCTGATCCCCATTACTGCACTCCCCTGCCAGCCTTGTTGACTCTAACTGCCCTCCCCTGCTGGCCTGGTCACCCTAAATGCCTTCCCCTTTCACCCTAGTCGCCCCTAACTGCCCTTCCCTGCCAGTATGTTTACTCTAAATGCCCTCCCCTGCCACTCTGGTCGCCCCTAACTGCCCTTCCCTGCCAGTATGTTTACTCTAACTGCCCTCCCCTGCCAGCCTGGTCGCCCCTAACTGCCCTCCCCTGCCGACCTGGTTGCCCCAAACCACCTTTGCATAGTCCCCTGTCACTGTGGCTTTGTCCAGAAGGACGTCTGGATGGTTGTCCAGAAGGTATCTGGTTGAATTAGCATATTACCCTTTTATTAGTATAGGTAAACTGGCAGTTGGACATCCTCTTGCAATCTGGGACCTCTGGCTCCTAACTCCTTACCTGCCCACCTGATTCCCCTAACTGTTCTCCCCTACCGGCCTGGTCGCCCCTAACTGCCCTCCTCTGCCAGCCTGGTTGCCTGTAACCGCCTCTGCCTCAGCCCCTGCCACCATGACTTTTTCCAAAAAGACGGCCAAGATGATGTTCGGGAAGATGTCAGGTCTAATTAGCATATTACCCTTTTATTAGGATAGATTCCCAAGCCTTATAAACTGGAGATTTATAAGTCTGATTCAATCTGTGTAACAAAAAAAAAAAAACAGCTGTTAAATATGTGAAGCCATGCTTAGGTGGCTCGATCACTGGTTGCGATTGGACTTATGAACCAGGAGGTTATGGTTAGATTCCTTGTCAGGGCTTATGCCAAGGTTTCAGGTTTGATCCCCTGTGAGGAGCCTGCAGGAGGCAGGTGATCAATGATTGTGTCTCCTCATTGATGTTTCTCTCCCTCTCCCTCTCCCTGTGAATTTGATATCGATAAAAAATATACTTTAAAATTTATATCTACATATATTTATATGCCACAAGCTGATATATCACAACTGAATCATCCACATCCCATCAGCTCAACACTTGCCCAGATCAGGGTTTCCTCCTCCCACTACATGTATTTCTGTCTGTGGATCTGTCTCTGTCTCCTGCTCCCTTTCCCTCCACTGTGGTCCTTTCCTGTGTCCCCCTCTCCCCTGCTCTCTCTCCCCTTTTCTCTCTGTCTGTCCTACACCTGGACCATGAAACTCCTGAAACCTACTTCCCTTCAGGGGCTCTTTCTCCTGGTCTCTGAGGCTCCATCTCCACACACGTCTGCGTCTTCCCCTCCCCACGCCCGTGGCCCCTCTGCTGCTGTTCCAGTCTGTCCCACTCCCACAGCTGCTGACTCAGTGATGCTCCCTCATCCCTGAGCCCCCTTTCTGTCCCTGCACTCGCTCCCCAACTCTCCTCCTCTGAACCAGTGTCTCCGTCTCAAGAGCCTCTTCCTGTGCGGACCCCACTTCTGCTCCCCAGGACCCGCTCTCTCTCAGCCCCCCTTCCTCTCTCTGGGCTCCCCCTCCTCCCTGTGTCTCCACTTCCTTCCTCCTCAGGCTACTTTCCCAAGTGACCCCTTCACTCCTACCGTTGCCTTCCAGTCGCCCCCACACTCCCTATGGGACCCTCTCTGTGGACCCCTCGCTGCCCTGTCTCGCGCCCACCTGTCTGTCTCTCACTCCCTCTCCTGACCCACCAACCTGGGTCCCCGCCCCCCGCAGTCACCGCGCCCACAAAGCCCCTCCCTGCGGGCAGGTCGCCTCTTCAGGGGACACCGCGTCCTTTCCCCTGAGCCCCCCCCCCCCCCCCGTGGACACTTGCTCCCCGGGCAGGCAGACCCCTTATTAAATGGGGGTGGGCCTAGGAGGGGGGTGCAGACCCCCAGGCCGGGAGCCATCCGGGCTCTTTGGGCGGAAAGCGCCGGGCGGGGGGAGGGGCGCAAAGGGGGGACCCCCTGACCCAGACTCTCAGCCCCGCGGGGAGCACCGGCGGCCCCGGGAACGGTTTTCAGCGGGGAAACCGCGCGGCAGGCGGTGGCCACAGCCACAGGCGGAGAGACCCCGTGCCGGGGCCTCCGTTTCCTCCCAAAGGAACGTGGCGCCCGCACCGCGCAGCCTCCCGGGGCGCGGACTCACGGCTGAGAGAGGCTCCGGGGCGGGGACCCCAACAAGGACTTCAGCGCCGGCAGCGCCCTCAGCCTTCCCTGCGGGGAGGGGGGCGGGGAGCGTCAGCTTTAAAGACAAACACCCTCGTCAGGGGGAATAGCCATCTTTCTCTCCACAGCCCCTTCCGCGTCTGCAAGGAACTGCGCATGCGCCTCCCTGTGGGGTGGGCGGGTCGCGCTGGATGGACAGAGAGGGCCAGGTGGCTTTTTTGATGTCACAATGCACCCCAGAGGGGCTGTTCCTTTATTAGGGTGCTAGCGAGTAAATGGCAGCTGTGGCAAAAGCATGAAGAGGGAGGAGGAACCTGGAATTCACACAGAAGTTTCCCAGCTCCCAGAGGCTGTGCTGAGAGCTACTGGCTGGTCTGCCCTTCAGCTGCAGGTGTCCCGGGGAGGGGTCTTTCCCAGGATCTTCACAAGCCGGGAGCACATTCTTACAGTGAAGTTACAGGGAACTCAAAAGGCGGGCAGATTGGGTTTGAAACCAGAACTTTCTGCCTGCGATTTGCCTGGATCCTTAAACCCTCAGTGAGGAGGGGGGAGGGGAAGGGCAGCCTGCTCTCTCAGCCCCTCCCTGTCTCCCCAACTGAAGGGAGAGGCAGCTTGACTTAGGGAAGCAGGAGGGTGGGGGTGTCAGAGACAGACCAGGATATCCATTCATGTTGGCACTTGATGAGATAGTCCCATCCATCATAGTGGGAAACAGGTTTATGTATTTTTCAAGGGATAAAAATTTTCTAGTTGTATGTTGTGGTCTTTGAAATCTTTGTGTTCTGGGAATGCAGTTTTAAATGAATATTTTGACTTTAGTAGTACCTATAGCCTAGTTAATGGGACATTGATATCAATGTAGAATGTATCCTGTTAGTTTTCCTATTATTTGGGAAACAAAACAATTGAAAATCAATATTTAAAAGAGTTATAAGAATAATAACTATTATCATTTTACTTAGACCTATCACCATTTTTATTTTTATTATTTTCCAGTATTTTCATGAATATAGGTATTCATTTCAGTATTATAAATCTTTATTTACTTTAAAGATATGACCTGTTTAGAAACCTGTAATTTAGAGTAAGCCAGGCCAGAGGATTATGTTTAACTTATATAAATATTTAATTGGTTTATGCCAATAAAATATCACCTCTTAGTATTGCCACCTGAAGCCAGAAAACACACCACATATAATAAACAGTTAAACACATAAAGACAATCCATTCTACAAAGATGGTGAAAGACTTACACACTGAAAATGACACAGCAATGCTAAAGGAAGCAGATACAAATAAACTGAAATACATTCCTTTATATGTACAAGTGGCTACACAATAAATAGATTATCTATGGAAATTCCAAGGCAATTTTGACTGTAATTTAAGCAAAAGAGATTCCAGAGAGGGTAAATACTTCAAATATAGGAAAGTGGGATATTCACGTTTTTACACTGAAAAACATTTTACACAGCAAGGGTAAGCAAGTGCGTGTGATCCTGGATTAACACAGATCCATACACCAATGGAACAGAGGAGAATGCCCGACATAAACCCTGATGAAGCCTTACCTGCATCCAATAGGGAGCCTTCTCTGTGCCAGAGGATACAATCCAAAGGGGCAAATGCAACCTCCAGAAATGATGTGGTAAAAGTGATCTTGAACTTTCCGACATGTCTGTGGATTTCCTCCTAAAAATTGATAATGAAATGAAACACCCTCTGGCAGTTATGTCTGCTTGTCAACATTCCTCTCCATTCCCAATGGTGAAGTTTGGAAGTCAGTGACTCACACAATTAGCTTCAAATATATTATGAAAGCACTCAGAAAGATTTCCACATGTGTTGGAAACTACAGTTGAAAAGGATTACATCAGGAACTAATTTACCTCCCCCCGGCCCATCCCACCCCCATCTCCTGCTTACCCTGGGCCAAGCAGGCACATATTGGTAGTGAGACTGAAGCAACTCTGTAGCAACTGGGATCTCAGGGAGGGGCTGGAAGTGAGGAGGGGCTTGAACTCAGGAACATGACTGCAATTGGAATTCATGTAAGCACTTTAATGAAACAAAAAATGGCAAATATGTGTTTGAGGATGAACTAGATTGTGAAACAAAACTCTCCATGGGTAGACAGGCAATTTCATACTGACACCAGCAGCCTTTTCCTGCTCCCTGCCTCAATCCCCAGGGAGACCATAACTCAACATGGCTGAGTTCCAGAGCCTTTCAGGGACAGGATCTGGGATATGAGAATTAGATTCGATGGCTAGGACATATGATCATTTAGGACAATAGCATTGCTTAAAAAAAAAAAACCTTTTAAAAATGTTGTTATAAACTGCATTACTAAAACAAATGTTGTGTCCGACACTTAAATTACCTTGAAGTACTATTTTTCACTACAAACCTTTTATTATTTCATGTATTACCTGTTCCAAAATTAAACAGGTCCTATATAATAAAGAGCTAACATGCTAATTAGCCCAAACATCAGAATGACCCACCAGATGAAGCTGGGGCTGAAAGGGCCGGGGGGCAGGGGCGCTGCGAGAGTCTGTGAGGGGCTGCGAGGGTCAGCCTTAGCACCTGGGGCTGTGAAGGCCGAGCCCTTTGCATGAATTTTGTGCATCAGGCCTCTAGTCTATATCCGATCTAATAATAGACAAACATGTTAATTAACCGTACCTCCGACACGCTTCCCATTAGCTAATCAGGGCAATATGCAAATTAACTGCCAACCAAGATGGCGGCCGGCAGCCAGGCAGCTGCAGCAAACAGGAGGCTTGTTTGTTCTAGTGATGGAGGAAGCCAAGGTTCCCCGCATGCCACTGCTGGCCTCTGAGCTGCACTCTAAGAAACAATGTTACAATTATAGAAGCTAAACAAACCCCAGAAACCTGCTTTCAGCCAGCCGAGCCTCAGACCTGGAGCTGTAACAGTGTTTCAATTATAGAAGCCAAACAAACCCAGATACCTGCTTTCAGCAGCCGAGGTCTCAGAGCTGGAGCCGAACCTCAGAACTAAAGCAGGCTCTCAGTTCCAGTGACAGCCATAGAAGGTAAATAAATCCCAGAATAAAAAAAAAAAAAGAAAAACAGGAGGAGGCTGGGAGCTTCAGTCACCCTCCAGCCTGAAAACGGCCCTCAGTCCCTCACCCAGACTGGCCAGGCATCCCAGTGGGGACCCCCACCCTGAAGGGGGTGTGACCAACTGCAAACAGCCATCAGCCCGTCATCCAGGCTGGCAAGGCACCCAAGTGGGACCCCACCCTGATCTGGGACACCCTTCAGGGAAAACTAGCCGGCCTCCACCCGTGCACCAGGCCTCCATCCTATATAGTAAAAGGGTAATATGCAAACTGACCCTAACAGCAGGACTGGGAATGACTGGTCACTATGACACACACTGACCACCAGAGGGCAGACAATCAATTCAGGAGCCGCCCTCTGGTGGTCAGGGCGCTCTCACATGGGAGGAGTTCTGCTCAACCACAAGCCAGGCTGATGGCTGCCAGTACAGTGGTGGTGGTGGGAGCCTCTCCTGCCTCCTCAGCAGCGCTAAGGATGTCCGGCTGCAGTTTAGGTCTGCTCCCTGCTGGAAGTGGACATCCCCCGAGGGCTGCCAGAGGGATGTCTGATTGCCATCTTAGGCCCAATCCCCCGGGGAGCGGGCCTAAGCCAGCAGGTGGTCATCCCTTGAGGGGTCCCAGACTGCGAGAGGGCACAGGCCGGGCTGACAGACACTGCCCCCCTGGCCCGAGTGCACAAATTTTTGTGCACCGGGCCTTTAGTGTGTATGTATGTATATATATATATATATATGGCTAATATGCAAAGTGTCCCCTTGTTAGTTTGACCGGGGGAATGGGAATTCGATTGTTCTCAAATTCTATGATGTGCACTAACCAGTAGAAGGTGGCGCAGAACATTGTGGGCTTCAGCAAAGCGGCTCCAGCAGTGGGTGGCAATGGAGGCCCCGACGAGAGAGGGACCGCAGCAGGATGGTGGAGCAGGGGCCAGAACCACCTGCAGGTCATGGGGTGGGCCGCCACCCTGTTCCCAAGCACTCAGGGAGCTAGGGAATGAGGAGGCTGGGAGTCAAGTTGAGAACTAGTGGAAGCTGGCAACTGGCGAGGGAAGGAGGAGAGGAGGCAGGGAACCTGACTGACCCTGGTCGCTGGCTAGGCCTAGGGACTCTACCCATGCCTGGCTTTCGTGCACCAACTCTCTAGTCAAAAATAAATATTGTGGACTTAACTCAGAAAAAGACATTGAACTATCCTTTCTTTTCCTTTTTTTAAAACATATTTTTATTGATTTCAGAGAGGAAGGAAAAGGGAGAGAGAGATAGAAATATCAGTGATGAGAGAATTATTGATCAGCTGCTTCCTGCATGCTGCAGACTGGGGATCGAGACTGAAACTTTGGCATGTGCCCTTGACTGGAATCAAACCTGGGACCTTTATGTCCTCAGGCCGATGCTCTATCCACTGAGCCAAACTAGCTAGGGCAAACTATCCTTTCTAGATAATATTATCTAAAAAAAACTTCAGGAATATGTACAGACAGGTTATTTGATCTCCTTTTATAAGGAACCCACTTCTATCAGATTAGGACCCCACTCTTGTGACCTCATATAACCTTAATGACCTCCCTAAACCCCCAATCTCCAAATACAGACATATTGCAGGTTAGGCCTAAAAAATGTCCATTTTGAGGGGACACAATTCAGCCCTGTACAATCAGCATCTCAAGTTCATTATCTGTTTTATAAACCACCCAAAACTGATTCTCTTAATGCAACAATATTCAATATTTCTTATGAATCTATGGGTTGCTCAGGTGGTTGTTCTGCTTCTTGTGCTATTGGCAAAAGGTTTGTTAATGTTTTCATTATATGAAAACATGATTTCCCAAAACAAAACAGAAAACCAAAAAAACACATGATTTCCTGTGCTTCCAGACTTCAGTCCTATTTCCTTCGCTTGCAGCGTCCATTAACAGTCTCCTTCCAGCCTCTATCCACTAGCCAGGCCCAAGGGCATGTCATACGCATAAGGTTTTTATTATTGAGCACCTCAATCTCAGGAACTCTTTTCTCTTACAACTAGTCTTTGTTGTGAAATAAAACACCCCAAAGTTTAGTGGCTTAAATCAACCAACATTCATCATTGCATATAATTCCGGGGTGGCTGAGTCCTTCTCCGCTGCTTTCACTTAGGCTAATACATGCAGGTGCCTCCAACTGGCAGGGCAGCTGTCTGGGGCCTCAGGGACCTGGAAAATACCTTGCTTTGAAAGTTTTTTTAAAGTTTTTTAAAAAATTTAATTTAGAGAGGAAGGCAGAGAAGGAGATGAACATCCAATGGTTGCCTCACAAAAGTGCCCTGAGGAGCTCTGGAATCACACCCCCAATATGGCATTTGTGGGACCAGGAATGAAACTTGCAACGTTTTGGTGGAGGGAATACATGCAGAGAAATGAGCCAAATGAGACAGGGTTAGAAAGACCTTTGAGATAAACTTCCTTACATTGTGATATATTTGTCAGTCATATCTCATATAATGTAACTTCAAATTTTTTATAAGTCCCTTCAAAGAGAATCTATAGCTCAGCAGGTGTGCTCAGTGGTTAGAGCATCATCCCTCCTGCAGTCAACAATTTGATTCCCAGTCAAGTCTGTTACTGGGTGGAAGGTTTAGTCTCCAACCTACCCTGTGTGCCAGAGGGAAGCAACCAATTGATGTGTCGCTCTCATATCAATGTTTCTCTCTCTACCTCTCTACCCACTCTCTCTCCCATTCTCTCTAAGATCAATGGAAAAAATTATCTTTAGATAAGGATTTTAAAGAAAGAGGAACTACATTTACTTTTTAGAATATTTTATTGATTTCAGAAAGGAAAGGAGAAAGAAACATCAATAATGAGAGTGTATCAATGTTCCACTGACTCCTGCATACCCGCTCTTGGGGACTGAAGGGGAAACCTGGGCATGTGCCCTGACTATGAATCTAACCTGACCTTCTGGTTCATAGGTCAATGCTCATCCACTAAGCAACACAGGCCGGGCCAGGAAGATTACTTATATTATGACTAGAGTCTCTGTGCACAAAAATTTGTGCACTCGCGGGGGGAGGGTCCCTCAGCCTGGCCTGTGCCCTCTTGTAGTCTGGGGCGCCTCAGGGGATGTCCACCTGCTGGCTTAGGCCCGCGCCCTGGGGGATCGGGCCTAAGCTGGTAGTCAGACATCGCTCTGGCAGCCTGGGAGCCGTCAGCGGATGTCGACTTGCCAACAGGGAGCAGGCCGAGAAGCTGCAGTCGGACATCCTTAGTGCTGCTGAGGAGGCGGGAGAGGCTCCCACCACCACCGCTGTGCTGGCAGCCGTCAGCCTGGCTTGTGGCTGAACAGAGCTCCCCCTGTGGGAGCGCACAGACCACCACAGGGCAGCTCCTGCATTGATCGTCTGTCTGCCCCTGGTGGTCAGTGTGTGTCATAGTGACCAGTCATTCCCAGTCTTTCTGCTGTTAGGTTCAATTTGCATATTACCCTTTTATTATATAGGACTAGAGGCCTGGTTCACAAAAATTTGTGCACTTGGGGGTGTCCCTCAGCCCAGCCTGTGCCCTCTCACAGTCTGGGACCCCTCGTGGGATATCCACCTGCTGGTTTAGGCCCCTCCCTGGGGGATCAGACCTAAGCTGGCAGTCAGACATCCCTCTGGCAGCCCAGGACCCCTCGGGGGATGTCCACTTGCCAGTGGGAAGCAGGCCTAAGCTGCAGTTGGATATCCTTAGTGCTCCTGAGGAGGCAGGAGAGGCTCCCACCACCACCGCTGTGCTGGCAGTTGGCAGCCTGACTTGTGGCTGAACAGAGCTCCCCCTGTCAAAGCACACTGACCACCAGGGGGCAGCTCCTGCATTGAGCGTCTGTCTACCCCCTGGTGGTCAGTGTGTGTCATAGTGACCAGTGATTCCCAGTCGCTCTGCTGTTAGGGTCAATTTTGCATATTACCCTTTTATTATATAGGATACAAGCCTGGTGCATGGGTGGGGACTGGCTGGTTTGCCCTGAAGGGTGTCCTGGATCAGGGTGGGGGTCCCGCTAGGGTGCCTGGCCAGCCTGGGTGAGGGGCTGAGGGCCGTTTTCAGGCTGGTCAAACACTCCAGCGGGGACCCTAACCCCATTGCAGTGTGGCCAGCCTGGGGGAGGGACTGATGGGCGTGTTCAGGCTGCTCATGGCCCAGGCTGGAAGCAGTTACCTGGGATTTATTTAACTTCTATAATTGAAACTTTGTAGCTTTGAACGGAGCTCAGGGCCGGCAGGGCAGGTGGAAAGTGTGGCTTCCTCTGTTGCCAGAGGCAACACTCCAGCTCCATGGCCGCCGCCATCTTAGTTGGGTTAATTTGCATATTTTCTCCTGATTGGCTGGTGTGTGTGACTTCTGGATGTGACATGTGCATGTAGCGAAGGTACGGTCAATTTGCATGTTTCTCTTTTATCAGATTAGCTAGAGGCCTGGTGCATGGGTGGGGGCCAGCTGGTTTGCCCTGAAGGGTGTCCCGGATCAGGATGGGGGTCCCACTGGAGTGCCTGGCCACCCTGGGTAAGGAGCTGAGGGCCGTTTTCAGGCTGGCCACACCCCCTTCAGGGAGGGGAGTCCTGCTGGGGTGCCTAGCCAGCCTGGGTGAGGAGCTGATGGTTGTTTGCAGGCTGGCCAACCCCCTCAGAAGGGACCCTCACCGCATGAGGGTGTGGCCAGCCTGGGTGAGGGCCTGATGGCTATTTGCAGGCTGGACACAGCCCCTTCAGGGTGGGGGTACTCGCTGGGGTGCCTGGCCAGCCTGGGTGAGGGGCTGATGGCAGGCTGGCCAAGACCCCAAGTGGGGACCCTCACCCCATGAGGGTGTGGCCATCCTGGGTGAGGGTCTGATGGCTGTTTGCAGGCTGGCCACAGCCCCTAGCCACCCAAGCTCCCAGTGGAGGCTGGCTGGAAGCAGGTATCTGGTATTTATCTTCTATAATTGAAACTTTGTTGCCTTGAGTGGAGGCCGCAGCCAGCCAGGGCAGATAGGAAGCTTGGCTTCCTCCATCAGCGGGGCAATAGAGCCTCCTGCTTGCTCCAGGTCAGTGGATGCCAGTTGCCATCTTGGTTGGGTGAATTTGCACATAGTCGCTCTGAATGGCTGGTGGCCATGGCTTGGAGCATAGCGGAGGTGCAGTCAATTTGCATGTTTCTCTTTTATTAGAGGCCTGGTAATAGAGGCCTGGTGCATGGGTGGGGGTTGGCTGGTTTGCTCTGAAGGGTGTCCCGGATAAGGGTGGGAGTCCCACTGGGGTTCCTGGTCAGCTGGGGTGAGGAACTGAGGGCCATTTTCAGGCTAGTTAAGCCCCCCAGTGGGACCCTCACCCCATGGGATTGTGGCCAACCTGAGTTTGGGTCTGATGGCTGTTTGCAGACTGGCCACAGACCCTTCAGGGTGGGGGTCTTGTTAGGGTGCCTAGCCAGCCTGGGTGAGGGGCTGAGGGCCGTTTTCAGGATGGCCACACCGCCTTCAGTGTGGGGGACCCGCTGGGGTACCTGGCCAGCCTGGGTGAGGGGCTGATGGCTGTTTTCAGGCTGGCCACGGCCGCAGGCTGGAAGCAGGTATCTGGGATTTATTTACCTTCTATAATTGAAACTTTGTAGATTTGAGCGGAGCTCAGGGCTGGCCAGGGCAGGCGGGAAGCTTGGCTTCCTCCACTGCTGGGGGCAACTCCAGCTCCATGGTTGCCACCATTTTAGTTGGGTTAATTTGCATATTCACTCCTGATTGGTTGGTGGGTGTGGGTTGTGGATGTAGTGGATATACGGTCAATTTGCATGTTTCCCTTTTATTATATTAGATATAACCTATTTTGTTCCCCTAACCCCACTCCCGAATCCTCTATTTTTTCTTTTGTTTTCTATTTCTGAATGATCTGTTACGTATGCACAAGAAACCTGTCAAGCCCTGGCCGACTTGGCTCAGTGGATAGAGCGTCGGCCTGCAGACTGAAGGGTCCCAGGTTCGATTCCGGCCGAGGGCATATGCCTGGGTTGTGGGCTCGTTCCCCAGTAGGGGGTGTGCAGGGGGCAGCCAATCAATGATTCTCTCTCATTGTTGATGTTTCTGTCTCCTTCTCCCTTCCTCTCTGAAATCAAAGAAATATATTAAAAAAAAAAAAAAAGAAAGAAACCTGTCAAATATATACACTGAAGAAGACATTGGGACACATTTTTAGCTCAAGAATCATTAATTCCTGCTCTAGCGGGTGTCACTCAGTGGATACAGCATTGATTCATGGACTGAGAGTCCTGGCTTTGATTCTGGTAAAGGGGACATACCTACCTTGAGGCTGGATTCCTAGCACTTGCAGGAGTGTTCCAATCAATGTGTCTCTCTCACACTGATGTTTCTCCCTCTGTGTCTGTCCCCTTTGTTTTCACTCTCTCTAAAAATCAATGGAAAAATAGACTCAGGTGAAGATTCACAACAAAAAGATTCATTAATTTTGTCCTGGCCACAGAGTAACTTTGCTGGTTGCAGCATCATCCTAATGTGCCAGGATTGCAAGTTTGAGCCCAGACTGGGGCACACTCAGGGGTCAAAAATAAACAACAAAAGAATCACTAATTCTGCAACATTTTGTATGATAGTATATTCTCTGTTATGTAAGCCTAAAAAGAAGTAAAGCCATTGATCAAATATCCAATAATTACATCTCCCTTTATACCCACAATAATTTTCACCACAATGTGTTAGTGAACATCTAATATGAAGTATATTTCATTGAAAAAAAATTCATCTATAAACAAACAGCAGGACATTCTCTGTGTAGTGAGTACACATGAGTGAGAGTAAGCTGAGTCCTGGGGGTTTCGTGTTTTGTTGTTGTTATTGTTGTTTATTTGTCCAATAGCAATGTATCTCCCAAACTTTCAATCTATCTCAGCATAAGAATTTATTTAAAAAAATAAAACCTGCCGAGAGAACCAAGATGGCGGCATAAAGGTAAAATTTTCAAAACAACAACATTGAAACTACCAACTATAAGACAAAACAGTTATCATTCAGACCATGGGAAAGCTGGCCCAGTGGAAGTTCTACAACTGGAAGGAAAGAACGAAGAGCATTGAGACAGAGTAGGATGTGCAGAGGTGCCAAGAACAGAGGTACGGAGTCACGCACCAGGCGGGCTGCAACTGGATGCGTGTTTTTTTTCAATCGGAAGGGGTTACAAACTCTCAAATCCACTGAGCTTGTTTGGGGCGGGATTCTGAGGTCCCAGACCCCTACGGGGAGAGGCGGGACGGCCTTGCAGCGGGTTGGAGAGCAAGGGTGGCTTTCTCGTGGAGCTATTTGCCAGCACTGGGGGACGCGGAGACGTGGAGAGGCAAGAAGTCACAGAGACGCCATTGCTGTTTGCTCCGCCCTGGTGATTCCCTGAGATCCCACTCTAATCAATTTACATCCTCACCCAAGCTGTGCCAGTGGCACAAAAGGAACCACCTGCACTTATCCCAACAAACTGCAGATTTCAACTCCTTGCATCCACAAGGGACACACTCAAGAAGCAGAATCAGGTTCAGAGGAAGCCGGAGCCGGACCCGGCTGAGCTGGTGACAAGGAACCGCTGTACCAGCAAACGCACAAGCAGGTCCACCAGATCCAGTCTCACATGGGCTGCCAGGAGATGGCAGACAAGCAGTCTGTGCACTTAGTAGAAAACAAAATCCAAGAAGGCATACCAGATATTCAGCCAGCAAGAATGCCTGGAGATTTTGTCCAGCAAGGAGCTGCCCAACAAAAGACAGAATCTCAAACTTCATGTTGACCAGTTAAAGTATGATGTCCAGAACCTGCAGACTACTCTCAGAAACTTGCAGCATCAGTGATACGCAAGGGAGCAGCAAGGAGAGACAGCAAGAGGAACTTCTGTCTCACACCTTCACCCCCAACGTGGGATGCAGCGCCCCCTGCGAGGCTGCGACGACCCCTGTGAGGCACCAACAGCCCCTATGAGGCTGAGACGGCCCCTATGAGGCTGAGACAACCCTGTGAGACGCATGCGGAGGGGGCTGGCGGCTGAGGACATAGTTGTCTTTTTCAATCGGGAGGGAGTCTCAAGCTCTAAGCTCCAGTTCCGGGCGAGTCTCTGGGGACCCAGACTCATACGGGAGAAACTGGACTGTCTGGCATTGGTCGGAACTCGAGGGCAGCTTTCTCTTGGGGGTGCTTGCAGCGATTGCCAGGACACTGAGAAGCAGGGCCTCTAAGGGCAGGACTGAGAGCAGCCATAACTGCTTGCTCCACAGGCTTTTGCATATGAAAGGCCTGGCCCTTTGCAATCTGATAATTACCTAACAAACTGCAGCTGGCCTAAGGCCCCAGGGCAACTTGCATTGAGTCAAAGCTGGCTCCTGCTGGATAGCCTCAGGCAGAGTCTAGATTAGCACCTCCTTAGAGATCCAAGAGCCAGTGTGCCAGGTGGTCAGAGTGGGACCATCCAGATTGCAGCTCCTCTGATCCATAAAGAACACACTCAGGGAGCAGACTCAGTGAGCACCAAAGCCCCATTGAAGCAAGTCTTGACCCAGAGGGGTGTCTCCAGCACAGAAGTTCTCCCACTGCAGACACAGCTGATTCTCACAGCCAACTGGCCTGGAGGTCAATTCCTCCCAGTGATACCTACAACAATCAAGGCTTAACTACAACAAGACTGCGCACAAAGACCACAAGGGGGTGCACCAAGAGTGTCTACCTCAGGTAATTGGGGAGGCTGAGCCACTGGGCCCTATAGGACACCTAGCACAGAAAGCCACTCTATCGACATAGTGAAGCATAAAAAAATGCGGAGACAAAGAAACAGGACACAAATGACAGAAATGGAGGAAAGCAAACTACGAGATACAGAGTTCAAAACAACACTTTTAAGGTTTTTCAAGAATTTTCTAGAAACTGCCGATAAATGTAGTGAGATCCTCAAGAAATCTAATGATGCCGAAACCGGTTTGGCTCAGTGGATAGAGCGTCGGCTTGCGGACTGAAAGGTCCCAGGTTCGATTCCGGTCAAGGGCATGTGCCTGGGTTGCGGGCACATCCCCAGTAGGAGATGTGCAGGAGGCAGCTGGTTGATGTTTCTCTCTCATCGATGTTTCTAACTCTCTATCTCACTCCCTTCCTCTCTGTAAAAAATCAATAAAATATATTTAAAAAAAAAAAAAAGAAATCTAATGAGACCCTCGAGGTTGTGATAAAGGACCAACTAGAAATTAAGCATACACTGACTGAAATAAAGAATATTATACAGACTCCCAACAGCAGACTAGAGGACCGCAAGAATCAAGTCAAAGATTTGAAATACGAAGAAACAAAAAACACCCAACCGGAAAAGCAAAATGAAAAAATCCAAAAATACGAAGACAGTATAAGGAGCCTTTGGGACAGCTTCAAGTGTACCAACATCTGAATTATAGGGGTGCCAGAAGAAGAGAGAGAGCGATACTGAAAACCTATTTGAAGAAATAATGACAGAAAACTTCCCCTACCTGGTGAAATAAAACAGACTTCCACGTCCAGGAAGCGCAGAGAACCCCAAACAAAAGGAATCCAAAGAGGACCACACCAAGACACATCATAATTAAAATGCCAAGAGCAAAAGACAAAGAGAGAATCTTAAAAGCTGCAAGAGAAAGACAGTCAGTTACCTACAAGGGAGTACCCATACGACTGACTGCCAGCTGATTTCTCAACAGAAACTTTGCAGGCCAGAAGGGAGTGGAAAGAAATATTCAAAGTGATGAATAGCAAAAACCTACAACCAAGAGTACTTTATCCAGCAAAGCTTTCAATCAGAATTGAAGGTCAGATAGAGCTTCACAGGTAAGAAAAAGCTAAAGGAGTTCATCACCACTAAACCAGTATCATATGAAATGCTGAAAGGTATCCTTTAAGAAAAGGAACAAGAAGAAAAAGGTACAGATACAAATTATGAACAACAAATACATATCTATAACAAGTGAATCTAAAAATCAAGTGAATAAATAATCTGATGAACAGAATAAACGTGATTATAATAGAATCAGGGGCATAGAAAGGGAGTGGACTGCCTATTCTTGGGGGGGAAAGGGGTGTGGGGGATTCGGGAAGAGACTGAACAAAAATCGTGCACCTATGGATGAGCACAGTGGGGGAGGAGGTGGGAACCGGATGGAGGGAGCTATAGGGGGAAAAAGAGGAACAACTGTAATAATCTGAACAATAAAGATTTAATTTTTTAAAAAAAACTATTTACATGGAAAAAAAAAACAAAAAAAAATAAAAATAAAAAATAAAAAAATAAAAAAATAAAAAAATAAAAATAAATAAAAATAAAAAAAAACAAAAAAAAACTATTTACATGGGTTAATTCCATCCCAATAAAGAAGTTAACGGGCTAACAATGAGAAATCCTTAAGGTTTCCAATGAAAAACAGGACAAGAAAAATCATTCCAATTACAAAGTACACAGATGCCAATTTGTGGTATTCCGAAAATTCATATTCATATTAAAAACTATAGGTGTCAGCATGAGAAGGTGAATGGTGGGCTACCTACCTCATGAAAACAAAGAAAAATATTCACCAAATTCTACTGTCAGTCATTGCATTTTTAAATTCAAAACTACTGAGTGAAAGTTACAGGGCTTTGAAGGGCTGATGTGGGATAGGAAGAGCTTTACATGCTGTGGTCATAGCACTGGAATGGCAGCTTAGAAGACAAAGTGAAAAGGAAAGAAGACAGAGAGGAACAGGAAATGAGAAATGAAAGAAATGGAATTAATGTTTCTGAGTTCAGCTCGATGTGTACACTGGACACTGGGAAAAGTGTCCTCTCTCCACATGCAGCGTTCATGCCAATTCTGCATCCTGGGTACAACAATGTCACTGCAATATCCCTCTTAATCATAGAAAATCTATTACACAGACAGCACTGTCCTGAGTGTAGTTCCAATCACCTAAATGTGACAACCACAAATTGACATGCCCTCAAAAAGTTTTCACCTGAACACATTGGCAAAGAAAAGGAAGTATCCTTGATGACATCATTTACAAAACTTGAGAACTATTTTTAAAAATTTATTCAACAGTATTATTCTCTAATAGAAGAAAATAATGCGCCGTACAATGTACCCAATATTCCATGGGAATGTGTACATAAGTGAAGTCCATATAATATACAACATCTCACAAATCTTTAAGACAGAAACAATCAACCCCATGATTTCACTGACACACACCAGATATAAAACATACCAGCATCAAGTGGTATGGGAGTAGAATCACATTAACATTTCCTTTTCAAAATACTTCAAATGATTTCAATATAAATGAGATAACACTCTAAGTAATTGTACATATGGAAACATCAACTTTTTTGATATATTCAAGTATACAAACATTACCTAACAACATTTAAAGTTTGGAGTACACTGTGAGTACTGATTTAGGGCTATATCTGAAGGGCATTTTGGCTATTGATCTAGTGTGAATTCAGTGAGACTTTAAAATTCATAATCAATTAAATACTTGGATAAACTTTTTACATCTTTAAAGCCACTTTAAGGCATAAATTCCTTGGAGATTTGTAAACTGTATATTTTAAAGAAAAGTCATTCCTCCTATATTAAAAAAACGTGGAATTTCTACCCAATTATAATCCCTGATAAGACTGGGGCTGTAGGTTCAATTATATGATTTCCCACATTTTTCAGTTTTAAGGTTTTCCTCTAGAATAAACTCCAATGTGAGCAATAAGCTACAGATGCTGATTAAAAATTTTAGGACAATGTTTACATTTGTATTGATTCTCTCCAGTTTTAATTCTGATGTTGGGTAAGGTATGCATACTGAGTAAGCTTTGTCACATTCTTTATATCTGCTGGGCTTCGATCCAGTAATAATTCCAAGAGGTTCTATGACATGTAAATGAGAATACACACTTTGACATATCCCTCAGAATTTGTAAGACCTTATCACTCTCAATGAAAGCATCGTTAAATCTTTGGATAATTTTATATTTTTGTTGTTTCTCTTTAGAATGCTTCGTAAATGTTAAGTTTGAACACAGGTTAAAGGCTTTCTCACATTTTCTACAGTGTAACGCTTCCCTATACTATCAAATCTCTGATGATTAGTAAATTTTGAGCCGTGGGTAAAGGCACCAGCCTATTCTCTACATATGTACAGTATCTCTCTGTTTGGAAGTCTCTAAGGTACGGTAATATGTGAATGGCTTTTAAAAGTTTTTTACATTTTTCCCATTCATAAGTCTTCTTTCCAGTATGAATTCTGTGATATTCAGTAAATTTTCACTGCTGTTCAAGGACTTACAACACTACACACATCTGTAAGATGTCTCTCCAGTATGAACTCTATGATGCTTAGTAAGGTTTGAGGATCTGCCAAAGGATTTGCCACATTCTCTACATTTATAAGGCTTCTCTCCAGTATGAACTTTCTGATGCATTGTAAGGTTTGAGGCTCTCCCAAAGGATTTGCCACATTCTCTACATTGATAAGGCTTCTCTCCAGTGTGAACCCTCTGATGCTTAGTAAGTTCTGAGGAGCTGACAAAGGATTTGCCACATTCTGTACATTTATAAGGCTTCTCTCCAGTATGAACTCTCTGATGCGTAGTAAGGTTTGAGGAGCTGCCAAAGGACTTGCCACATTCTATACATTTATAAGGCTTCTCTCCAGTGTGAACTCTCTGATGATAAGCAAGGGTTTCAGATCTGGTAAAGGCTTTGCCACATTCTATACATTTATAAGGCTTCTCTCCAGTGTGAATTCTCTGGTGCTTTGTAAGGTTTGAGGCTCTCCCAAAGGATTTGCCACATTCTCTACATTGATAAGGCTTCTCTCCAGTGTGAACCCTCTGATGCTTAGTAAGTTCTGCAGAGCAGACAAAGGATTTGTCACATTCTGTACATTTATAAGGCTTCTCTCCAATATGAACTCTCTTATGCTTAGTAAGGTTTGAGGAGCCACCAAAGGACTTGCCACATTCTATACATTTATAAGGTTTCTCTCCAGTATGAACTCTCTGATGCATTGTAAGGTTTGAAGATCTGGTAAAGGCTTTGCCACATTCTATACATTTATAGGGCTTCTCTCCAGTATAAATTCTCTGATTTAAAGTACAATCTGAAGGCCAATGAGATGTTTTACCAAAATCTTTACATGTATAAGGTTTTTCTCGACTATAGATTTTTTTCAGTCTATTTACATTGAATATTTGACTGAAGACTCTCCCACACAGATTCCATTTGTAAGCCTCCTCCCCAGTATGAATATTCTCTTGTTCAGTGTAATTTAATGATTGCTGAAAAGACTGGACACATTTATTTCCTTTGTGTGTCTTGTTCACAACAGGAATAACCTGACATATATTGTGATTGGACATTTGATCAAAGACTTTTCTAATTTTATAATGGTTCTCTGCAAGCTCGCTTGTCCGATGATTAAGATATGACTCTTGCTTAAAGTTTTTCCAATGTTTATTCCATTGATATCTGCTGTCTCCATAATATGTACTCTGGTAATAATGGGAGATAGAAAGACCTTAAGTGACAGTTATAAATTCATTAAACATGCACACTTGTTCCGTAAGAACCATTTTGGTATACTCATTAAACCAAGATCGTTGTATAAAAAAGAGCTTTCCTAATTTATTGAAATTACCGAGAAATAATAAATACAAAAAATTGTTAGAGGAAGAATATTAAATCCTTGTTTAAAAGACTGAAAAAAATAAAAAGACTGCCAAATTGCCTAGCCAGCATAGATCAGCGGTTGAGCTTCGAGGTATGAATAAGTAGGTAATGGTTCCTTCCCGGTCAGGGCCACATGTCCCAGTTGCAGGATCAGTCCACAGTGGGAGGCATGCAGGAGGCAGCCAATGAATAATTCTCTCTCACCATTGATATTTTTGGCTCTCTCCTCCTCTCCCTTACTCTCTGAAATCAATAAAAATACGGTGTTTTTTTTTTAATCATAAAATAATGCCAAATTGAGCACAGTTTAATTTTATAGGTACAGTATAAATCTCTACATTTTAGAAATGATTGCATGAAAGTTTAATCCCACCCTACATTTGAAACAACTGAAGTGATTACACTACAGACTATGTGAATTCCTAGTTTATCTATATTTCCTTTCCAAGAATGCATTAACAGTAAAAACTTGTTTTCGACTTTCATGTACAGAAACACACTGACCTGCCAATGTAACTGACTTTAAACTGGGAGGTTTCCCAAAAGCGTAATGCACTTTACCTCTTTAGGGAAAAAATATTTTATTCTGGTAAGTGTTCCAGATTAGTACTGTTTATATTAATAACTTCTCTTCTCATCACACTCTTCCCCAAATACCAAGACTTTCATTAAGTGTACATTATCAAAGTAACACCTTTCATATCTTACCAGTATTATTTCAGAGAATAAATGTGGTATTCCGGTATTTGGCATAAAGGCCTTGTCATCTTCAGATGACATAGCTGAAAGAAAACACATTTTCAGTTTTCACAATCAGGTGAGTGCACTTTGAAGTTACCAGCAACTATAAGCCAAATGACAGTTTTGAGTACTCCAAGAGCCAGTGAAGGATTCAAAGAAAGCTCAAGATAGGTATAATGAAGAAAAGTCACATCAAAGAGAGACAAAGAGTTGCTTACATTTGCCAATGATAGCTGCTCAAACCCCTTGGCACACAATTGGAATATTACCAAAACACCCCCACCTCCCAGTTTCTTCGCTGGAGAGAAAGAGAGATGAGGGAAGTGCATGTTCAATGATCTCCCTGTTTTGAAGCATCTCGAACACCAAGTGCATATTGTGCATGACACAGAGTGCGAACAGAATGGCAGTACACGGTAAGCGCCTTGCAGTGGCTGCTACAAAGAAGCAACGAGGTGTCATCCTCCATTTTGTGTGTAGCAACGTGGCCTCCGCATTCTTTGAGCGACTTCTCTGCTTCTGTCTATAACGCCCCTTGATCACAGGCATGTCTCAAGATAGGTTCCGGAGATGCAGCCGTGGTACCCAAAGTGAAGTAAACATTCAAAGCAATCCCTATCAAAGTCCCAGTGACACTTTTGGTGGAAATACAAAAACTCTTCCTAAATTAATGTAAATGTCACAGGACTCCATGTAACCAAATCAATCGTGAAAAGAATGTATGACATTAGCCCTCACCTGTTTGGCTCAGTGGATAGAGCACCAGCCTGCGGACTGACGGGTCCCAGATTAGATTCCAGTCAAGGGCATATACCTTGGTTATGGGCACATCCCCGGTCTGGGGTGTGCAGGAGACAACTGATCAATGTTTTTCTCTCATCAATGTTTTGTGTTTTTTTTTTAAATATATTTTATTGATTTTTCACAGAGAGGAAGGGAGAGAGATAGAGAGAGTTAGAAACATCGATGAGAGAGAAACATCGATCAGCTGCCTCTTGCACATCCCCCACCGGGGATGTGCCTGCAACCCAGGTACATGCCCTTGACCGGAATCGAACCCGGGACCTCTCAGTCCGCAGGCTGACGCTCTATAAACTGAGCCAAACCGGTTTCGGCAATGTTTTTAACTCTCTATGCTTCTCCCTTCCTCTCTGTAAAAAAATCAATCCTATCTAATAATAGACAAACATGGTAATTGACCGTACCATCGCTACGCCTCCCATCAGCTAATCGGCATGATATGCAAATTAACCACCAACAAAGATGGTGGCTAATTTGCATACTGCAGACAAGGCGGGACAGCACGAGCCACCAGTGTGCTGCCATCCAGGCCCCCATGTGCGACCACAGAAGCCGCCTGCCTGCCGCCCGTGATCGGATCCGATCCCGGGCCACTGGCCGGCCCGAAGCCCCAGAAGCCGCCTGCCTGCCTGCCGTCTGTGTGCACAGCCCGGTGGCCAGCAGGGCGGGAGCGGCAGATCATGATCTGCCTGCCCTGCCCTGCCGCCCGCCGGGCCTGCAGTCCGTATGCGCGAACCGGTGGCCGGAGGGGCCAGCAGTCCGTGTGTGCAGCCCAGCAGCCACCGGGGCCTGCAGTTCGTGTGTGATCCGTGCCCGCCCTGCCCCGCTGCTCGCCCGGCCGATCGTGATTCGCCCACCCTGCCCCACTGCCCACGGGGCCTGCCGTGTGTGGTGGGCGGCGGGGCGGTGCAGCAGAGGGCCTGCCATTTGTGACCCAGCGTGGGATCCGGGCCTGCCATTTGTCACCCGGGGAGCCGGCCTAAGCCAGCAGGTGGTTATCTCCCGAGGGGTCCCAGACTGTGAGAGGGCACAGGTCCAGCTGAGGGACCCCCCCACTCCCCACTCCACACCCCCCGCCAGTGAACCAATTTTTGTGCATCGGGCCTCTAGTAAAATATATTTTAAAACAAAACAAAACAAAACAAAACAAAACAAAAAGAATGTATGAAATTAAAGGCAAGCAAGAGGGGGTCAGTCGATGTGTCTCTCTCACATCAATGTTTCCCTCTCTCTACCCTTCCTTCCTTTCTCCCACCCTTCCACTCTCTCTGAAAAGCAATGGAAAAAAATGTCTTCATGTGAGGATTAATAACAACTATAAAATAGAAGCACTGTAGAATAAAGAGCCTACTTACAACTTCTCACATATGAGGTAAAATAATCTTCTACAAGGGTGCTTATACCACAAAAGAAGTAAATATTTGATTTTTTATTATAGCACTAAGAGGAGAGATAAACAAAACAAAATAGTCAAAAGGCATTATGCCCCATATAAAAATAACATCACATTAAAGCAAGTTGTCAGTGCATTAAAAATACAAGCTGTAAAATGGGAAAAACTTCTGCAAAGCATATTATCTGTTAAGTACTTAATATCCAGAATATATAAGACCTTTTACAAATCAACATGAAAAAAGAAGTAACACAACTTTAAAAATGTCCAAAGCTAAATAGCTAACTAATCGTAAGATAGAAGGCAAGAATACACAATAGGTAAAGACAGATTCTTCACCAAGTAGTGTGAGAAAAGCAGAACAGATACATGCAAGAATTATAAGACCATGCCCCTTTCATAGGCAATGAACCAAACTGAACTCAGCATGGATTAACAACTAAAGTATCAGACCTGAATCCATGAAAACACTGGAAGAAAGCATAGTCAATGAACTTTACCATCACTCTTTAAAATACTGGTTTGCATGTATCTTCCTAGGCATAACAAAGAACCCAAAAAATAAAAAAATGAGACTACAAAACAATAAGTTTGGCATACGAAAAGAAACCACAAAATAACAACAACAAAAAACAAGCAATGCTACATCCTCAAAAGCTAAAGATCCAAAATATATAAAGAACTCTCACAAGTTAACACCAAAAGTCAGTGTGATTGAAAAATGGGCAAAGGACCTGAATAGACATTTCCCAAACAGGACATAAAGATGCCCAATAGACATATTAAATGATGTTCAACTCCAATGACACCAGCATGAAATACCACCAAACACCTAACAGGATGGCAATCATCCATAAATCAAAAACGACAAGTATCACCAGTGAAGTGGAGAAATGAGAACATTCATACACTGTCAGAAAGATTATAAACTCACTGGTACAACCACTAACAAAACACAATGGAGGATTTTTCAATATTTACAAACAAATACCAGGTAACATAGTGATTCCATTTCTGGGGATTTATACAGAGAACATGAATTCAAAAAGATATACCGCCCTAACCGGTTTGGCTCAGTGGATGGAGCGTCAGCCTGTGGACTGTAGGGTCCCAGGTTTGATTCGGGTCAAGAGCACATACCATGGTTGCGGGCACATCCCCAGTAGGAGGTGTGCAGGAGGCAGCTGATCGATGTTTCTCTCATATCAATGTTTCTAACTCTCTATCCTTCTCCCTTCCTCACTGTAAAAAATCAATAAAGTATATTTTAAAAAAACAAAAAAGAAAATGTTAATTCTTTAATTCTTCAAAAAGATATACCCCCCCATATATCCATTACAATAGTGATGATAGCGAACTGGAAAAAAAGGACTATTTTCACAATGATGCTCTACCATTTAAAATAAATAAAAGACTTCATTTGACTTGACATGTAAGGAGACAAAATTTACATCTCAACTCATCTCCTTCAAGGTAAAACTATGTGTTTATTCCAGAAATGACACAATAGCTGCAAATAAAACTTCCACATTATTGAATATAAAACTACATTAATTTTATAAACTTCACATTTTTATAAGGCAAATACGTACCCAAGTTTGTATTTCAATCCACTGTATTAAAATGGAAACTCCCCATGTATCAACTCAAACATTAAAACAAAAACAAAAACAATAAATATGGCATTATCAACAGAAAAAAAAAAAATAAGAAGCCACAGGCAGAGAAAACATATTTGTAAAAGTTGACATGGCCCAGCTGGCACGGTTCAGAAGTTGAGTGTCAAGCTACAAACCAGGAGATCATGGTTCAATTTCTGGGCAAGGCACATGGCAGCTGATCAATGATTGTCTCTGATCATTGTTGTTTCTATCTCTCTCTCCCCCTCCATTTCTTTCTGAAATCAATAAAAAAAAGTCCTATAAAATAAAGAGGGAATATGCTAATTGACCACCACTCCCTCACAAAGATGGTGGCACCCACAGCCAATAAGGAGGGAATATACTAATTGACTGCCACGCCCTCAAAGATGTCAGCGCCCCGTTCTCTCATCCCAGCCGGGGTGGCAGGCGCACCTCCCTCCAGAGTCCCCCAGTCCCCTAAGTCCCCCAGGACCGGCCCAAGGCACAGGCAAGCCCTGGATGGCGGCTGCTCAGCCAACGCCCGAGTCACAGGCAAGCCTCGATGGCAGCTGCCCAGCCACTCAGGACTGGCCCGAGGTGCAGGCAAGCCTCGGATGGCAGCTGTCCAGCCGCCGAGGGCTGCCCAAGTCTCAGGTAACCGGGGCCGGCCGAGATTTGAGCTGCTGGTAGTGGCAGCAGCAGAGGTATAATGGGGACATTGCCTTCCCCTGATCGCCAGGTTGCCTCCCGCCCCTGAGGGCTCCAGGACTGTGAGAGGGGGCAGGCCAGGCTGAGGGTCGCCCCCTCTAGTGCATGAATTTTCATGCACCGGGCCTCTAGTATATTAATAAGACAGTCAACATGTACAGGACAATTATACAAAACACTCAAAGAAGTCTTCAAATTCAACAATGAAAAAAGAACCAACATGACTAAAAAGGGCCAAAAACCTAATCACACAGCACTACAAAATATATACACATAGAAAATCATGGAGGGTCGGGGAGACAATGGGGGTAGGACACATATGGAATACCTTAATCAATAAAGAAAAAAGAAAGAAAAAGAAAATCAGTGTAACAAGAGCCTGCATATGTTATGTCACTAAGGAAATGCACATTAAAACAATGAGAAGTAACAAACAGCACAGGCAAGCAACACTCACCCACCATTGAACAGATCAGAATCCAGAACACTGACCCCCCCAAATGCCTTCGTCATGTGG